CACACATACTGTAAATATGCAGTACAGCTTGATTTCCCCGTATTTCTTTGATTGCAGAGTCGGATTTTGTCGTAGCTAGTCTGGTTTGTGTTTCGTCACATTCTTATTGTGTATCTGTGTTTGCGCCTGCTGCTACTTTGAAAAATTAATGCTGTGATTCAGTGGCAGATTCCATCCATAGAGCCTGTATCTCTGCGCCGTTATCGACTCCCATATGAGACTCTTTGTAGTGGCTCTACAAAGCATGTCATATTTTAGCATTTGTCATAGATATTTCTTTGCTTTGTTATCTCACTTCTTGCTCTGTGGTCTGCCATTTGTTTTGCTTTTGCAAGATTTATACTGCGTTTCTCTTTGTGACACAGTGTGACTGTTTATGATGTTCCCGCTCTCAGTAGCAGATATACGGCAAAGGTTTGCGTTTCAAAACATTTTGTGCTGTTCTCCAGTGCAACAAAAGGGAGTATATATCTCTATATCTTGGCCTACTTTTATCTTGCACAGCATGTGACCAAGCCTTTGTTCCACTCCCAAAGTAAGATGCATATCTCAATACATTACACTTTTCTCCTGCCTTGATATTGCACAGCATGAGATGGGACATTTGTCCTTAGGTTGTGACGAAGAGAACATATGGAAGTATTCACATATTTTGAATTTATCACTCCTCACTACATGTATACTTACACACACACACAGGCACATTGCAATATCCAGACACTACAAGAGAGCACCTTATCAAGAACTGAGGAAATACAAATCTGCTTTTATCTAGTATTCAGGGGCACAAGGTTTGAAATATACCTGTAGCCAAATTAATGTCTCCGTCATTGTGTCTAGCAGAAAGAAAACATGAACAAAGTGAGTGTGTAATGGATCAGACACAGCCCTTATCTCTTTGAAAAGAAAACCATTTGATTTCTTTGTCTAAAGAAAAAAAAACCAATGGACTCTTCTTGAACCTTTTAAAAAAGCCTGTTACAGTTGAAATAGAGGGCAAGGCTACATCTCATGTTTGTGCACATGCAAGTATGTGTGTGCGCATGCACGTGTGTGTGTGTGTGTGTGTGTGTGTGTGTGTGTGTGTGTGTGTGTGTGTGTGTGTGTGTGTGTGTGTGTTTATGTGTGTGTATGTGAATGATGGAGAGAGAGAGAGAGAGAGAGAGATCCCTCAATGCAACCACTGGAAGTATCTTCACACAGGCATGTATAACAACATTATTTCATATCCACACCATGCCAATAAACCAATCGGTTATGGGTGTTGTTTTCTGTGTGTGTGTGTGTGTGTGTGTGTGTGTGTGTGTGTGTGTCTGTGTGTGCGTGCGTGCGTGCGTGTGTGCGTGCGTGTGTGTGTGTGTGTGTGCGTGCATGTGTGTGTGTCTGTGCACATGCAAGTGTGTGTGTGTGTGTCTCTAGTGGTGTGTGAGTAATGACAGTGAAACAGGTGATGTGGGGGCGAGAGTTAAAATAACAAATACACATTCTCCCCTGGGGTTGGCTTGATCCAATCAGCCACCCTCTGCCATTCACATGCACACAGACACACACACACAGTTACACACTAACACCAGCTGTGGCTAATGATGCGGTGGCAGTGGTAGTATAGCCACCACATGTGGTCTCTTTGTCTGAGCCCAGTAGAGCACACATCAGTCTCACATGCTTCACCCTTCAGACATCATCAAAGTCTGCAGCTATTTTCAGCACGTCATCACACAAGAGCTCACAACTAATATTGATAAGCTGCCGGTAAAGGTCTGTATTCATGAACTGACTGCTTAAAAAACTGATTACATAAACACATAATACCCTCAATGTAAGTCACTTTTCATAAAACACCAATTGCTGTCAGTTGGACTTTTGATTTATTGTTTGGATGACATAACAATCATTTGTTAAATTGTTGATGTGACAAAAGTTGAATTACACTGATAGGATGTGTCATTAGACAAAAAGACATTTGGTCTGATTCCAGTGGCAAATAACAAATATTTGCTTTTTTATAATGTATGCTGCTTGTTTTAGCAGCAGCGGTAGAAATTGTCAGAGTAAGCAAGTTATAATGCACAAGGTCCCCCAGGTTAATTGGAAATGGAATTCAAATTACTTTTCAAAGGAAGGTAGACATGCTTGTCCTCATTGCTGTTGTGGACTGACGGAAAGTAAATAGTGTTTGGAGGAAGGAAAAAACTAAGATGGAAAGTAAATGGTTGAATATTAAGCATTGAATTTAGGACAAAACGATTAGGATACTGAAGAGATTATAAGAGAATTGACGATGGATGGACAGAACTGTGGATTAGTGGACGAATAGTGTTGATACACATTTTTGTCTATGATGTTTAATGATCCTAGTATTGTGTTCAATTGCGATTTCAGAAACAATGTGCATCTATATGTTGCACAATTTCTCTTTGTGTTATTTTTTCTCTTATTTGTCGTAATTCAGTTCAATTGTTGTGTGTGTGTGTGTGTGTGTGTGTGTGCGTGCTATACAGCGTTTGTTAACTGAGGTTTAGCTAAATCTTTCGGCCTGTGCTCGCATGATTGTGTTTACACACAGAAATTGTGTGTGTGTGTGTGTGTGTGTGTGTGTGTGTGTGTGTGTGTGTGTGTGTGTGTGTGTGTGATTATTGTGTGAGAAGCTCAGTTTCAAAGCATCAAAGTAAACAGCTACTAGTCTGTTCCTCTTTCTTGAAACACTATGAAACACTTTTTCTTTTCTTTTTTTCTCAATTTCTGCTCTGTCCATCACTTCTGAATTTTCTCAAGTTTTGTAGCAAGCTTTCAACACATACTCTCTCTCCAATCTTTCTAACTTTCAACTGCATTTGAAACACTGAAACAATATATGTACACATGCACATCCATTCTAAAATACACTGATTGAAATGCAAAATGAAGTGAAATGCAATGGCAATAGCAATAAAATACCACGTAAATTTTTTTTTTTCAGACTGCAATTAACGGGGCGTTGATATCATTTCTAATTACTGTTGCAAGATGTAAGTTTGTTTTGGGCTAATAAAGCAAACAATCACCATAATGCCCTGTCACAATGGGTGCTGCTGGTTGAAGCTCCTATGTTTAGATTTAATTAACTAAAAAATGTTTTTCTTAAGAGAAACATTACCTAAGTGTTTTTTTTTTTTATTTGGTTCATGTTGTTATTTCAGCTGTTTTTCAGTAAAGGCTTTCTCATTGTTCTCTCTTCTCTCTATTTCTCTAGTTTGAACATGAATAAATAGAGGCCAATGTTGTTTTCTTTCACAGCATAACGCACATTACATTTGCTTTTGTTTGTGAGAAAGCGCCCTACACTATTTTCTAAGTCTAGAGTACAAGGATAAACTCCTTGCCTGACCATTTGTGCTGTATATGTTCTATGTTTTTGTTTGTTTGTTTGCCATTGCTTTTTTTCTTCAGTATAACCTTTACTTTGTAATAGAAACTGAAAGGTCACACAGCATCTCACTTAAGATTGAAAATTCAGAGCTACAGTGAGCCCCATGACTAAGATGCACCTCAGAATCTCTATAGATCAGAAAGAGCGGCAGGTAGAATAATTGCAAGAGAAGAACGACAACCGAGCTTTAGCAGGCAGTAAACTGAAGAATAACACCATATTTGCTCTTTTCTGCATCTGAGATTTCCATTTCCTAATGCGAAGGGAGGAGGAAATTAAACAACGTGAATTAAACAACGCAGCTCAGACATTTATGTGCCTGCCATAAAGCTTGGACAGGCTGAATTTATGAGGGTTTGGACCAGTAAATACAGCACTCAGGAAATGTGATTAGGCTCATAAATTGGGCAGTTTCCAGCTGTCCTACCCTTCACCCAAAGTATCTTGCGAAAGCATATGTTTGGGATATTTTCCTTTTCTACACTGCCACCCCTCCATTCTGCGAAGGGTCTACTGTAGATGAGGGTCTTTAAAATTACAACTGTGTGATTTCTGTGACTTGTTGCATAAACATTTTCCTGAAGCTTAGAGTACTGTTATTATTATTACATCCTACCCCATAAAGTACATTTATTTGCTTGTAAATTTGCAATTGGTAATCTCAAAGATTTATTACATGAGAATATTTTTGACAAGAAATTATTGGATACTTACATGTGACATTTCCTCAAAGCTTTTCTGTGGGGAACCATTGAAAAACAAGATTACTACAACATCTAACATCCTTACATCCCATCTTTATTTATCTAGAAAAACAAGATTATACCAAAACTTCATTCCTTCTCTTTGCTTCTTTTACTCTCTCTCTCTGTCCAACTTTTAACTTTTTTTATCTTTTTTTTGTCAGCAATTGCTCTCCAGCTGGGTCAGCTGTGAAAACAAGATTATAATGTGAACGTGTCCCTGCTGGCACACAGCTGGCCACCATTGTCGTTAGACATTGATATTTGGTTGAATATAGGTTGCGATGTCGGGTACCAAATTTCAATGTCAGGACAACATTTAATGTCAGCATTAATTTGACGTAGAATACTGACCACAGCTGACATTGATGATTTGTTGGTTTTAAGTTGTGTTGTCAAGTCACAACAACAAAATTCAACATCCTCCACATCTCATTCCAACACCATCTTGACATATAAAATACAGACCTTCTAGTTGATTAGAAAAATCCAACATCTGCTAAACATCACAAGATTTCATTCCCAACCACAATTTAATGCCTATCCAACGTTGGAGTCGAAAGAGTCCAACATCTTTCTGGCGTTCCATTGACGTCCCAGCGCCTGCTGGGATAATTTTCCCTCAGCAGTTGATGAATAATTGTTTATGTGGTTTAATTTGTTTTTGAATTCACGGCAGGAACATTCCTTTGCTCTCGAAAATCCGATAAGACATGTAGCTCCATAGTGTCAATACACAATTTACTGTTATCATTTCTCTTTAGCTAAATTTGTAATTTCTCTTCATATATCTGAGGTGTAGAGAAACCTTTACACTGACCTTGTTTTCCCTTCTCTTTGTCTTCCAGGTGGAGTGGTTGAAGAACGAGGAGATAATTGACCCAGCGGAGGACAGGAACTTTTACATCACCATCGACCACAACCTGATCATCAAACAGGCGCGTCTGTCTGACACAGCCAACTACACATGTGTGGCTAAGAATATAGTGGCCAAAAGACGAAGCACCACGGCAACTGTTATTGTTTATGGTAAGTTTATGTGCTTGTGTCCGTGTGTGAACGAGACAATGCATAGCTAAATATCTCGTCACTGCCAGCGGCTTTTATTCATTTTAAGTGTATGTGACATATTTTGTGTCTAGTTTCAAATCTTACTGATCTGACACCTTTTTTAAATGCTAGCTGCAGCTACCCAACAATGTCTCTGATCAGCCAAGCCAGCACCCATCTGCCACATGAAATTAGCTCTACTGCCATGCCAACACACTCTCTTTGTGATTGGCCTGATATTCCCACATCACCCTTAACCTCACCCAATTAAAATCCACCAATCACACCCTCGGTTTTAAATTAGAACACTTGGGCTTCCCAAATGTGTGCGCTTTCATCCAAGAGTCCCACCACCAAATGAGTTGTGCAGCATATGGCATGGTAACAGCTGTGAAAAACAACAACAAAAAATAACTTTGAAGAGTGCCTTTCTGAATGGTGTTAGTTTGTTTTGCAGGCAAAGCTTCTCTTGTGCTGTTTTTGCCAAAAACTATGAAGAAAAAGCTTGTTGAGAGGAGGAAAACGCCTCATATGTCTCGCTTTCTCTTTTTTTTTTTTCTTTTTTTTTTCCATTTTACCAAATGCCACCCTGACATGAGAGGATAGGAAACATTTTGAGGAGAAACAATGTATAGGAAAACACACACAAAGTACACACAAACAGTGTTCATCTCAAATATACGACTGGCTCTATTCACTAGGAGGAGTGTTTCAATCAAAAATAACTGTGCATGTGTGCGTGTTCTATACAGACGGCGAGAGATGGAGTGGTTTGACACTGATGTATCCTTACAGAAATAGATTGTTCAATCTGTGGTTCAATCTTCTCGGCTCCACAAGGGCCCGGCTGACACTGTTGACAAGGTGAAATAGTAGCGGAAAAAACAGAGGAACATGAGGGGAAAAAATGGAGCAGCCATAGATGGAATGGAGACAGGTGAGGAGAAAGGAGAGGCACAGTGGGAGTAGGCGGGTGAGTGAAGAAGAAAAGAAGAAGGGTGGCAAAAAGTAACTGTACCTGATTTTACTGGGATTTTCTTGATGACTCATTTCTAATTGGGAAAGGAGAGTGGGCATTGTCCACTGGGCTGACACAGAGCTGTCGAGAAGCAGCGGAGGAATTTCAACCCACTACACCTCTGCGGATGTCAACTCCCTCTCTCTGGGTGTCCTTGTGACTCATTCTAACGTTATACCTGATTTCTCTCTCTCCGTCTCATCTGCTCCCATCTTTGTCTGCAGCCTGCCGCCACATTTTTACCATCAGACACATCAATAATACAAAATGATAAAATCAGAGACAAGTTTAAATGTGACAGAATGCAGGGAAGAGAAAAAAGGCAAAGAAAGACGTGAGGGGCAAACAGACATGGCTCGTACAACAGTTGCAGCAGGCTATGTGTGTGTATGTGTGTGTGTGTCCGTACGTGCATGCGTGTGCACGTGTGCGTGTGTGTGTGGTTAGGAAAATCCAGCTGTTCTCACTAAACTTCAACAACCAAGCCTCCTGGCATCTGTAAAACACATACTGACTCCATCAAGACAAATGGTTCAGTTAAATCAAACAGCACATTAAAATCAGAGATTTCCCCACTGATGATGACGCCTCTGTGATACAAAAAGACTGAAGCTCTTGTGAAGTGAAGCTATCACTGACCTATTTTGTGTAAACATTACAAAACTGAGGCTTTATTAGTATGTCTGCTACAGATTGTTGTTCAGTTGAGTTAAAAACACTTCAGTGCTCCCTCAAGGGGCCCTTTGCTGCAAGGACATTTGCATACACAAATACCCATGAACAAATTATTCACTCGCATAAAGAAGAAATATAGAAACATAATTCAACACCTCAAAGGCCCCATTATGTCAAAAAGTGTCAAAGTGCATCTATCAGTCTAAATTGACCATTTCTTGTACCGCTGCTGTTTACAAGTACAGTATAATGAGCTCAGCAATAAAACCAAAATTCTCTGTGTTTGTTTTACATGCAGGCAATCTAAAATTCACTCCTGATGGACTCAGCTTAAAGTGGTGACTGAGGAGATGTGTGGGTTTTTTAATGATTGTTTCTGCCTTTTTGTTCAGTATTAAGCTGTGCAAGGGATCTTTGTGTTTTGCCAGTAGTTTTAGAGTGTTAGTTTGGAGTTAACACCTTGCAATCTGTTTTTGGATGGATATAAACTAGCAAATAAATAAAAAAAAATATGAAATGTTTAAAAAACTACTTTCAGTAAAAGAGGGGTAAATGTCAGTTGTTCTTTTGTTTAAATGGCTGATTAACCTTTTACCACCTAACATAAATAACACCTATCTCATACACTGGAAAAAAGGCCACTCCAAAAATAAGCAAAAGATATTTTTTGCTTGTAATAAGCAAAAAAAATCTGCCAATGGAACAAGTGAAAATTCTCTTGGTAAGATTTCTTGAAATAAGACATTATATTTAATCCTTACAGGATAAGAGTGATCTTGAAATTAGCTGGGAAAACTCACTTTTAGCTATATTTTACTAGTATTTTGATGTTTTGTGTCTCATAATAAGCTTGTGATGCGCAAAAATAGTATTTTTCCCTCAAAAGTTTTTGCCATCCTGTTTGTTTCAAGAGTATTTAACTAATTTTTAGTTCTATAATTGTGACACTGTTCTAGATTTAAGTCCACCACCTACTTGAAATAAGATTAGAAACTGGCATTTTGAGACAAAATGTCTTGAAGTTAGCGTTCCTGACTCGTATTAGGCAGTGCTCTTTTGCCATAATAAGCCATAATTTACCATCCTGTCATCATCTCAAGTGCATTTACCTTATTGTAAACTCTACAAAAGTAATACTGTTCTAGATTCAAGACATTAACTACCTCTTATAAGACAGAAAAATTTCTTGAAACAAGACGATTCATCTTTTACAAATAACACAGCAGCTTAAAAACCTTATGACATGTCAAAAAAGCTTGTTTCATCTGAGATATGACTCAAAACAAGATGTTTTCAAGACTGTTTCACTTAACAAGATATTCAAGATGCACTGTCTAAAACAAGCTCCTTTATCTCACTTAAATCTTACTCTTTAGGTGATATTGTCTTATATTAACTGTGATGAGATATTTTGACTAGAAATTAGAAAAATATACTTGGTAAGATTTTGAGTTTTTGCAGTGTATACACATAACTGAGTACGCAACTGAAACCTTTGGAGATGTGGTGTCTCCAAGATGGTGGGTGTTAAGAGTTATTCATGCACGGAAGCGTCAATGTACTGACTGATATCTGTTGCCGCAGTGAATGGTGGTTGGTCGACATGGACGGAGTGGTCGGTGTGTAACAGCCGATGTGGTCGAGGCTTCCAGAAACGAACCAGAAGCTGCACTAATCCCGCCCCTCTCAATGGAGGACTGCCCTGTGATGGACAAGCCATCCAAAAACTGTCCTGCACCACACTTTGCACCGGTAATTCTATTCTTTTCTATTCTAATTGAATTAAGTCCAGAGGAATCTAGTTTATGCGGCCTTGGTGCAGTGCTTTTGGTATATGCTAATTAATGACATTATCCTTGGCCTCATCACTTTTCTTTCATGTCTATTCTTGTGTTTCTCATTCCCTCGGCTCCTTCCATCCTCACTCTCTAGTGGATGGTGTGTGGACAGAGTGGAGTAAGTGGTCGGCCTGTGGGACAGAGTGTACCCAGTGGAGGAGGAGGGAGTGCAACAACCCAGCTCCTAAAAACGGAGGAAAGGACTGCGAGGGGCTCGTACTCCAGTCTCAGAACTGTACCGACGGACTCTGTATGCAAAGTGAGTTGACAATAACGATCCTCGGAGCTTCAGCATTGACAGATCTCCTCTAGATGAATTGAAGTTGTGTCATATATCATATCTAACTGTGAAAAATGAGTATGCCAGTTTGAACAAATACCTCACAGTTTCAGCTTCAGATGACATTTGACCTGAAAGTTAACTGACCTCAGGTTAGGCAGACCATTGGGGTGGTGTCGCATGGTCCAATTTTTAGCCAAAGCATGAGAACCGTATTGAGTGAAATGTAACCTAATAGTTGAATGGGTCAATTTAAACCACTGATAATCCACACCGAGACATCCACAACTCAGTATTTTTATTTTTTTAATTAACCCTTGAAAGAGACATCTTAAAGTCTAGAAACTGCAATCTGTAATTTCTTTAAACATATCATTCTTGAAGATGTTAGAATATCAGACTTGATTTAAAGACACATTTGCTTTGCCTTCTTTTTCAACTTTCCTTGCTTGTGTATGCATTTACTTACCTGTGTTGCAGCAAAGTTAGGCAGTTTTCTTCTCTCTGGGCGCTGTCCTTGTTCCTCTTCCCTCTGATCCTCCCCTTCCCATCATCCCCCCTCATCTCACTCTCCTCTCCTCCTGCAAACCCTGCTCTTTGCATCCAATCTCCCATCCTCATTGCTATCTGTTTTTCTTGGCTCTCCCCCTCAGTCCCTCTTGTTTTATGCATTTTTCCAGGAACCTACCTACACCTCTTTCTCCTTTTTATAGTGATTTTCTGCCTTACACATGCACTTCATTCCATTGTGTACGCTGTGGATGATTGGATGGTTTCTGAATGCTTCATGGTCAATCTGACTTTTCCCTCTTTCTTGTCCATTTCTAAAGTTAAAAAAAACCCTGTTTTATAAGGAAACTAATAATAAATAATTATGTGAAACAATCATCCAAACCCCCCCCCCCCAACACCACCACCACCTCCACCACCAGAATTTCTGACACCAGAAAAAAAACAAGTGTGGTAAATTTTCAAACCGCATGGAAAATGTGGCCTGAGTCATAATGGCGCAAGTATAGCAGCAGCAGTTTTTCCAAGGTGGAGGCAATTATATTTGTTGACTTGTAGGAATAGAGCTTGTTACTCCCTTTGCTCAGAGTAATTGGCGGACAAGCATCTGACGAGAAGAGAGAGAGAGAGAGGAGAGAGAGAGCGAGAGAGGCCTTTCACAGTGAAGAGGACAGAAATGTAAAAAAAAAAAAAAAGAAAAGACAAAGAAAACAGTCCGTCTTGAAACAAGTGCACATACACTCATGCTTATAATTATGCCATCGATTCTCATTAGTCTTTCCTTTCACACAACATGGCGACCAAAGAGGATCATCTCTGTTCGTCCTAATAAAAAATGAATTCTATAAGGAGCATTCTTTGGAGTTGAAGTTAAAATTGACCCGGACCTGATGCACTCATTGGAAAATAATTGCACTTAGAAAAAAAAATCTTTTTGCAACTTAACATGCTTTAAAAAGTATGGCTGTGTTTAACCCTTCATCGGCTGAGACACTCCTGCAGTCCCTCATAGTCATGTCTAAAGACATTTTTGGGCTGCTGCCACCATATTTATGTAAATTTTACTTTGACGTTTATTGTGCCAGGATGGTCTCTTGAGATTGTTTTTCCATAGATTCCTGGTGGAAATTGCAAATAAATTCAACCAAAGCGTGTGAATAGTTACATATATGTCCCTTCGATCCCAGAACATGCTGTCATGCATTCACCAAATTGATAAAACAGCTTTTATGAGGTTCTATATGATGCCCTCAATACTTGGATTCATTTGCAGAAATACTTGTTTTTTATGGTGTGAGCTTTGATGTGACAGTTATTGGTGATCTTACATGTACTGTTAAAGATTTTTGTGATCATGTGATTCATAGGTTGTGTTGTCTGTGTTTTATTGTTGCTAAGTTTGGCTTGGGCTCTCATTATTTAATAATATAAAAAGTAAGTAAATTAGTCACAAGCACTCCGTCATGAGTTCTGTTCAGAGGGAATATACTTTATCAGTGAGCACAAAGCCTAACGCTGAGTGAGCCGTTACTTGTGTGAGGAACTTACCTCTGCAGCCAGAGGGGAGTGGATACTAGTGATGATTTAATAGATGGTCCTCATCATGAGCTATGGAATAATATTATATAATCCCTCAAAAAGCTTTTCCCGTAGGTTCGTTATTGACAGAATTTACTGTATATGCAGAGCCCTGCCCACTCCCCACGCGATGTATTATATACCGTGTCTCTGATCCATCAGAAGGATTCCCTCAGGCCTGTGAGGTACGACCTCAGAATCTGGGATGAAATCTAGAGACTATAGAGACGTATAGATTTAGGCTCATTTCCCCTGATTGATTTTCTGTCTTTTAAATGACTCCACAGACATGGTTTTATGTCAGCACTAATGTTTCAACTGTTTCCTGTAGCATTAGCAGGAATCCATGGACTGTGTGTGTATGTGTGTCTATGTGTTGCTGTGTGTGGTCGTCAGAGGGGGTTTCTGCATGCAGAGCATTTTATAGGTAGAGTATATCTGAAAGGCTTGAAATGACTCCTGTATCATTCTTCTATTTGGTGTATGAATGATGGCGCTTTTACAGTCTGGTCTTTACACAGACAGAAAATGGTTCTTTGGTTGTGGTACCCAGATTGGGCCGTGACACTGACATTTTGAAGTTGTTTGCCATCAGTGACACCCAAAACTATTTCCTCGTTTAGCGTAGAGAGCAGGAACAGAAAACTCCAGCTTTGGATACTTGGTTCTTCTGTTTAAGTCCATTAGGCTCTGCTTAACAAGAGTAAGTAAACAAAATTTTAAAAATGTATGGCAGTGGCTAGATGCTGGCAGTGGTAACATAGGATTTCAGGCTTGTGAATGAACTGATAATGCACTGTCAACATAGAGGGGGAGTTAATGTTTTAGATGGTGTTCTGTAATTGACTTTGTGCTCAAAAAGCACTTCACTCTACTCTCTCTCTTTTATTCTTTCTCATTCTCTCTCCACCAACACCCCCCCATCTCCTCCACGGTCTCTTGCTGCCTTTTTTTCTAAAGTTGTCCTGTTAAATCCTGAGAGGTAGAAATCCATTCGACCTCATGTCTGCCCTGCATGGAGTGCCTCCTCTCTTTTTGTGTTTATGTGTTTATCTGCGAGTTATATCAGTGTGAGCCAGTATGTGTGTCCATGTGTGTGTCTGTTTGTGGCAGAAGTTGTAGGTCTTTCAGGGTTTTTTTTTTTTTTTTTTTTTTTTCTTTTAGAGTTGTTAGTGTTTTATATGTTTTGGCCTGTTGACATTTTTCTGACACATCGATCAAGATACTTGGAACAGATTCAGTCAGAGCTCCACTGTGTGTCATCCTTGAGAACATGACATTTCACTCTCTACCTACTCTTTGTGTGAGTGTGTGTGTGTGTGTGTGTGTGTGTGTGTGTGTGTGTGTTGCATGCGCTACATAACACTGCTGCCAGAGCAAAAAAAAATAAATCTTGTGTGGTCTCTAAAACCACAGTAATCATTAGAGATACTGGTTGTTATGTAACTTTAGTGTTTGTTGTATCATACAAAATGATTAGCAGTATCAGCAGGTACAACAGAGCATCACACAAGCCATCTGCCCATTGAAAGCTCTGTTCTTCCGCTTTTTGTTTCTTCTTATTGTAGACTCTAATCGCCTTTGTCGTATTATTTCCTGCGCTGTGTGTTCGCTGTGTTCTGCTTCCTTTCTCACACATTCTGTCCTAATGTACTGCTCTATCTTTTCTTCCCATAATGCTTATGTTGGCTCTTATTAAATAATTTTACACTTCATTTTACTGCAATCATGTTTTCATATCTATTTGAACAATTGTGTTTTTATTAGAACATGACAAATCTTTATCATGGCATGCCGCTTACTATCATCACTGAGTCAGACATTAATCAGCATGACATTCGTTAGATGCTATCATGTAAATGCAGTCATTTTTTTCGAGCCATTTAATACAAAAGGGAAAAAATCTGATGAAACAGTGCAGCAACATGCTAAGTCACTAAATTACAGTAGAACTTCCTGAGAAATCCCCGAGAGCAATGCAGCCGAGCCCACCTGCAGCACCAAAATCATGTGTACTGTTTGTTTTTATTTGCACATCACCCCACTTAACCTTGTCAGTGCTTCTCCTTCTTTGCTGTGTCTTCTGCGGTCAGCTGGTCCGGCAAGAAGCTTTTAAGCGCACCATGTTGCCGTGTTGCCTTTATTAATTATACACCACCACTTCAATTATACATTATACATCAGCAGTTTATCTGTGTCATAGACCTCCTGTCTGGCCTGCCTAAGTGGACCACTCAACATGACACAGCAGAAACGGCCTCACAGGCGTCACAGTTTCTAAAATTATCTTTTTCTTTTTTTTTTCTAATTGTTTTTCAGTTTTTCTTTCAAACATCATTTGATATTGATTTGTGGACTAAGACAACTAAAGTTAATGTACAGCAGACACAAAGAAAGCAACAGTCATATACAGGCCGTGCATTTTTTGTGTTTGTGTCCTGTTATGTTTGTCCCATTTTATTTGACTTTTTTTGTTTTGTTCCTCTCCTTTCCTCCATCCATTCCATCGTCCCCTTCTTTTCCTGTCCCAAAGCTTCATTGTTTCAGAAGTCATCTGAGTCCAAAGAAAAGACTGATTTGGGAATCCCATGTAAGTTGATGTTTTTTGTTGTATCTCCATCCATGTTCCTTTTGTCTTCCTCATCTTAGTGTTTCTTTCTTTGATTGAGCGTTGACCTTTGGCTCATTCTTTGCCTTTCATTGTTACATGTCATTTTGAGAGAGAGCGCTTTGCTCTTGTCTTATGATCTGTTCCCTTGATGTCCAATCTTTTTGCTGTGCTGATGAAACAAATGTCTTCAAACAGCGGCTTCACTCGTTTTTCATTCTGCTCGCCGACAACTGAAGTCTTGGTAGATTAGTCCTTTACACCTGTGCTTGTTTGATGGGAGTAAGAGTTTGCACGACCTGTATACTCGCACTAAATTATTTAAGGTGAATGTTTCTATGAATTTAGATATGTCTGGCGGTATCTGTGTATTTCCTTTTCCATTCTCTATAATAATGTTATGTATAGTTGACTCTCCAGGCCATTTTACTACAATTTTCTTTGACTTAAACTGTGGAAAAGAGAAAAAAATGAATGCCACTTAGAATCGGTAAGACATGACATCATACAGAAAAGGAAGTATCATAAACTAAACTGCAGGTTTTGCCCAGAAGCATAACAAACCGTTATACATTTCTATTTTATTATTGTTTTTTATGTATCTTTATATTGTACATCTTGTACAGGATGTCTACTAAAACAGTCCATTTTCCATAATTTAAACTGTGTCAGTGCCAGATCCATGAGTGATGTCTTGAAAATGAATGCACCGTGGTGGTGACATATTCCTTTTAATTAACTTGATTCTCTCTTTCTTCCTGTCTGATAGCAGTGAATCGATTCAGCACCAGTTCATTTGATTCACAGTTTGTGAGTTTGTTGCAGTTGTGGTCATTTTGGAGAGTAGCCAGTTGGCTTTGAATCGCTGCCCAAACAGGCAATTTGCCTTAGTTCTGAACACTTGCTTTGTGTTTACAAGCGTATTGGTTAACTACGAACTCGGTACGGAGTATGGTGCAACCATGGACACTGACTGAAATTTCTAATCAGTGTTACTGATTTGACCTATTCTCTTTGAAGTCTCCTTCAAATGAATGATTAATTTGTCAGACTGGCCCATCACTAATGCTTCGTTTGTGAAAGTAAAAAATGATTTACAGAAAGGCACAAGATCACCTGACAAGGGCAGCCCCACTTTGAAAGGTATGAGAGCTTCTGAATGAGCAAAAGAGTGAGAAATGATAATAAGGTGTTAAATATATTCAGCTGTTCTTGCTATCCTGCTCTCTTCTCCCTCTCTTTCTCTCTTTCTTTCCTTTCCATCTCTCGCTGGTACCCGTTGGTTCCTCAAAGTGACATAATGAAGGAGATTTACTATAAACTGTGAGGCAGACAGAATTTGAGAGGTGCAAGAGGGAAAGGACCTTTGCCACTTATTATTACCGTGCCTCCTTACTTCTCTCATTGCAGGAGCTCTCGTTTTATCTTCAAAGCAATCTGTGAGCGTCTGTGATGTGTTCTAATGACTCTCGTTTAGGGCCTGCTGAAGCAGTTTCATCATCCCGGAGTGTTTTGTGAGATGACTGGTCCCAGACAGATACAGATACAGAGGGAGCTAGAGAGGAGATAGAAGCAGTCATAGCTCATTTAACAGATTGTCACTCTGGTTTTAATATTCAAAAATACAGTCGGTAACATGAGCGTTGGGAGGTTGCATGAGTAGCTTAGAGACTCACAAAACTGATCCTGTTTTCTCAGAGTATGACTACGGATACAGTTTATTTATTTTTTAGATTTAGTCTTAACAGTGTAATTTATGAGGCATATTTACCCTGATATTGACACTTGGCCTGATTGGTCCTGTTTATCACTACATTGGCTTGTGACTGAATTACATGTAGGCTTAATCTTAAATTATACTTTCCGTGTCTGCATAGCTGCAAGTCTCTGTATGACATAAATTAAAGGTGCATAAAACGTGTGAAGCTGCCCACCTATAAAAACAACCAATGCTGTATAAATAGGACTGTGGCGTGCCTGCTGTCCATCTCCTTCTCTGCATTGGAGTATGTTAAGGCCTTAAGTCAGATTACAAATGCAATACCGACCGCCCCCATATCTGGTTCGACACCCAATGTTAGCAAAATCAGATTCTGCTTTCTCAGCTGTCAGTTAAAGAAGTAATATGGAAGAGTTTTACTGCTCCATTGCACGACCGTGACCACACTCCATCTGCAGGGAGTTGATATGGTTTTTGATCAATACCAATGGCAAAATAATTATATAGATTTTCTGAGATTTCTAAAACATGGTTCCCATCCCATATTTCCAAGACAGTTTTAAGACAATTAAAGACTACAACCAGGTCTGTGGCTCATTCACACCCACAGTAAAAGTCACTAATGTTTATTACCATTAAGCCATAAAAAACTAATAACAAAACAGTATAATAATTATCACTGTTTTCTTGTGCCATGATTTGTTTGCTCTCTTTTCTGGAAATATGACATAGCTGTTTGTGTCAGTTACAGACCAGCTTAGCTTGAGGGGATGAAAAGGGTGGGAGGAACACAGCTGAGCCATAGATGTGTGTGGAGGGGGACTGCTAGTATTTTATGATTCATATTTGTGGCCAGCAGCCACTGAAAGAGGTCGTAATGTCCCTCTCAGTTACATTGAAAGGCTTGTTTTCAGTCTGTTCATTAAGGAGCTACAGTTGCACTGTATTACACGGCTGTTACACAATGCATGAGATCTGACGGCTTCATATACAGAGTTGTTTGTAGTCATTGAAATACACCTTCTGGCTTTAGTGACTCCATATTTTACTTTCTTGGCTCCAACAACCGTCAAGTTTTTTTTCCCTCCCCTCTACAGAGGAGATAAGCATGGACACATTTTCAAATGACTGCTCGCTTTCTCCCTCTCGCTCCCTCTATCTTCCGTTCATCCCTGCCAGTTACTTAGAGCAGATGTGTCTGCCAGGAGTGCAGTATGGGTGGCGTTTGCATGTTGGTGCCAAGAAAGATCAAAAAGGCAGTTGAATGAGTTTCAAGTAGTGATTGTCCACAGCTCTGCTTTGGATGCAGATCACAGAGAAGATAGAGACGAGCTAAGCTGAGTTATCCTTGTTTCCCCCTTCTTTAAATCCTCTCCGTGGCAGATTGGATAGACTTGGAGAGTGACAGAAAGCTCAGCCAATCAATAGACAGCAATCCATGCCGACTGAGGGTGAGCCGGGGCTTCTGTTTTGCTAGCCCGTGTCCGTAATCAACTGCGTGTGCGAGAGAGTGTATGTGTATAATTTCTGCGATTTTCTCAGTCTCAAAGGTTTATGCCCCTACACACACATACAGTCACACACACACACATGCTTACCGACTGTATGTGACCAAATTTCTGAAGATTTTTTTTTTTTTGTAGTAAAAAAAGTTAAATAAAGTGCCAATTACAATGTCAATTATTAGCAGCATCAGTCAGTTCACACACACACAAATAGCCACATGTACACTAGCTCACTCACTTGAGTAGACCGTACGCCCCAAACAAACTGAATTTGGCAGGTGCACAGTGAACACTGGCAAAATCATGTCGATTTTGCAACCGAAAACCATTTGGCGTTGATCAAACATGTACTGTAGGCACAACACAAACACAATATTCAATCTCGTTCTAGTAAGGTAACCCTGTTATGCAAAACTATGACAAATTGCAAAGAATTCTTGCCATGAAAAGAAGGAAAGATGGTACGTTGTCAAAAATGTAACGCATTTTCCACCCTCACACTTGCCAAATGCCAAACACCAAGATTTCTTAAACTGCCATGGATCAAAAATATAATTTAATCTGTCAAAGAATCTCCAAAAGTGTCGTTTTCTTTTCTTCACTGGGGACTGATGTTCATAACAAGAGTGTTTAAACCTGTAGTACATGCTGACAGCTGACTGCAAATTGTCTAAATTGGACCTGATAGATCAATATGATAATTTTCAGTGTCCTGCTCAAGTTCTTTCAAAATGCATGTTTACATATGTACGTGTCAGCTGTTTTTGCATTTTTTTCACACCTGTGCGTATATCGGTGTTAGTGTGGTGTGTCCTGACCTTTAGTGCAGAACATTCTCTCCCCTATAGAGAGTTGTGAGGTAGTACTGGCTGGAACATCACAGACAGGATGTTTGAATGCGTGTCTCTCTCCTCCCAGGTGATTTATCATTTATTCAATTCCTTTCTTGTGTGTCCACTGAAAGGCACATATTTTTAATCTAACTCTAATTTATCCGAGCTCGCGGGTGAGTGCCCCGGACATGAAACTGCTTGTCAGCTACAAGGGAGAAAAAGCGCAGGAGATAGTTGACTTGTGGATAAAAGTTAATACAGATGTGTCCATGTGTGCATGTCTGTCCATGCGTTCGTTGTGAGTGTCAGTGCTCGCATGAGTGCTCATAAAAATGAACATAGGTGTGTGCCTATCAGTACTTAGTCAGACTGTGCTCCTTCCTCATTCTATCACTGCAGATTTTGTCATTCCGGCTTCACAGAGCGCAGCCTCGGGCCACACTCAGATACAATCAGAGGTCCAAACACATTATTCATTCATCTGGGCTTGGTCAAAAGTGCACACCCACGTTCAGTCCCTTTTCCAGCCTCCATCTTGTCAGAAAAAGGCAGCCCATGCTGTAACGCTGTCAGACAGTAAAAGAACATCAGAATTAAAGAATAGGTAGTTTTCAACCAAAGCAGTTTTTTGGTTTTCATGTAGAAGCACAATGAAATGAAAGACCAAAGAATAAGACACATACTGAGTTCAGAGGGGGCTTGAGTGCTCAAGAAAAGCTACAGTTTTTTTTTCTCTTATTCTAAATTCACTGCCATTTTCTAAATTTTCTGTCTTTGAGTGGTACGAGAGAGACTGAGAAATCAATCCCCCAAAGAAATTGTACTTTGAAAAGTCTATTCAAAAAATAATAAGGATTGAATAACTCATTTTACTTCTCAGTAGCATAACCACTAATTTGCCAAGAAATGATTGGTTCAATAATATGTGCAGCATTGTGGCTGGTCTCTACTCTTTGCAGTACTTTAATTGTTTTATTATTGTACTTTAATTCAATAACAGATAAATTACCATGTGTAATGTGGTTGTTGCTACTACTTAAACATCATTTGTAAATAAAGATACTAAGAAAAAAGAAAAAAAAAAAGGAAAACATTTGGTATCTACCAGTTGTATGTAGGTTACTCAGGCAGGTAGAAGCTCTAATGGGACATGTTGTTTCCTTCATCTACAAATCAAACAGATGGAGACAGAGAGACAGAGGGAGTCGGAGAGAGAGGCGTGAGCTACGGAGGGAGAGAAGGATCTGAGAGAGATGGGATTTAAACTGATAGAGAGTCAAGAAAGGATTTTTAAGCCCACTGGTATAAATCACGTTACACGCAGTACACACACAAGCACATATGTTGAGAACTCAGCAGGCCATAGCCTAGTTAACTTATCCCAAAGTGTCCCAAAACACTCAATGGGAAAATGGGATCAGAAAAAGCAAGTTTGGAAGTGATATTTTATATGGCTGCCTGGCATCTGTAATGTTCTGAAGTTAGACCTTCAAGTTAAAGCAGAGACAAGATAAAGATTCCCTTAATAGATGAGGATGATGATGATGATCATAATTAAGATCAGGGAGTTGGTACTTAAGAGGATTATCCAATTCTGTTCCCCCTTGGCAAGTGCAAGGACCTTGATAACAGGGCAACTTTGTGCAGCAGTGTAGTTAGGGCATTAGGGAATTTAAAGCAATCTTTTCAACAGCATCAAAAGGAAAATACAAAACCAGTACGGGTTAAACTTTGAAGATGTAAAGGTGGTGAACTTAGATTAAGTTTGTGTTAAATGTGATGAACAGATATTTGGCAGCAATTTGAGCTACTGTAATGTGTCAAAGAACTTTGTGAGAAGAGCACAAACTCTGAAACGCAGATCAGAGGTTGTAAACATAATTTATATGAATATTTCATTTCCCGTGCCACGATCGGCTTCATGTTGGCATGACATTTTCACACATTCAAAAGTTCAACTACTGTAGAGATCAACTCTAGACAATGGGCAGAGGCTAAGACATTACAACTCTTTGGTTTAGGACTGGAACCATGTTTATCATCTGCCAGATTGTCATTTTGTCTGTAAAATAATGAAAAGTGAAAAATACTCCTCTTAACGTCCCTGGGCCAAAGGTCACATATTCATATGTCTTGCTTTCTGTGACCAGCAGTCCAGCACCCAGCTCTCACCACTTCACTGAGATTCTTCAAGACAATCACAGAAAATCCTCACATTTTAAAAGCTGGAACCAGCAAAAAAATGTGGCATTTTTCAACCACCAAGCATCAAAATAGTTTCTTGTCTAATTAATTAATCAACTAATCCTGTCCAGGATAAGTCATATCATGGTAGAGAAAGAAATTGCTTAGAAATTATTTTTTTCTCAAAGTAGAAATCACACCATGCTCCATATTCATCCATTTCCACCATGTTGATAGTTAATTATTATATATCGTACATTGAATAAGCTTTTTTGTGTTTATTCTACACATATTTGCATTTCAGACATTGGTGATGATAGTGGTTATATCACAAAATACTGTGTCACAAGGGCTTTAGATCACACTATTTCAAAAACCAGAGCCATTTGGTTCATCACGGTCTCAGACTTAATTATGGCGGACATGCTTTGGACATGCCCTCGACATGCTCAGCTCCCCAGAGACACTAGAAGTGGTTCACAGCTCCCTCAAGTGGTAAATGGGTAACTAACACCATCACGAGTGACCTCTCTTCTGTGAATGTGTGTATGTGGGTATCATGCTTTGGCATGTGTGAGCTTGAATGTTTGTGCGCCTCATCAAAGGATTCTCTCATGCATAATCAGGTTCATGCTTTCTGAACTTGTTCTGATGCGACAACAGCAAATCCTTTAGCAAATGACTCGGGCTGTTTGGAGCTAAAAGCCCGTTATCTGCCTCTCAACTTTAAGGGCGGATTAAAAGAAACATTCCTATACTTTTCTTTCGTCTTCCTAATAGCTGCAGACAAATCCCCTCCTACTAGCTACAGAGGACATGATTATTCGAGGAATGCTTTAAGTGTGAGACTACTCCAAAAAGTTTCACAGGCGCTTTCATTTTAAATATGTAGGCTTGTTTGTTTTGTTGCTTTGAAGTTCAAGTGCATTGCTGCTGCTTTTTCCCCGTTTTCCTCTGCTCTGCTGTTATCACCTTCCTCCTCTTTCTTTCCTCTTCTCTCCTGATTTATTGTGCCCTACATGTTTCCTCTCATCTTTCCTGCTTCCTTATTCTCTTTTTAATATGCTTCTTTTATTCTCTTTTTTTTAAACTACCCTTACCTCTCTACTCTCCTGTCATCTTATCCATCTATCTCCTCCTTTCCTCTCTACTCTTTTATATTCACTCCTCATCTGCTTGTGTGTCCTCTTCTCTCCACACGTTGGCTTTCCCTCCTATTATTTCCCTCATCTTTCTTCCCCTGTGTTCCTAACTTGTCCCCTCTCATCCTTTCCTCATTTCCTCTGTGAAGCTCATCCTTTTTTTTTTCCCATCCGCATCACCCATCAGTTAAAATTTCCATAGCCCCTTCCTATGTTATAAAATATGGATCATGAATGACAATTCTACCATTGTTCTCACTCAAACACCATTAAAGTCTCAGCCGGATTGAAAAAGAATGTTAGGACCCTTGTAAAATAATTAACAGCCTTATTAAATTTTAAGAGTTGGTACCGTTCTGTTTTTTTTATGAAAGGTGTCTCTGCCTCTTTCTACTGCTGTCTAGACAAATTATCATATTACACAAGCTGGAGGGCTGTTTAAAAATTTCATTTGAAATGGAACCTATAGAGATTGTCCTCTGAGTGTGATAGGTGGTCTGAGGTAATAGTGAAATTGTCAAACACAAGTTAAGAATGACAAAGAGCCATATAAAGTAAGTTTGAAATCTGCAATGCCATTCACTTTTGTCTGACATAAAAAAAATATTGCTGTATTCTCCGCCACAGCGCTGCTGTTCCATAAGAATTATCACTGCTGTAGCTTAGTGGCGTGTTGTGACTTTTACAGATTGGCAAGCAGAGCTGAGTAAGATGAGTAAAGGACAGCTTGACCATAGACATATACACGTAGCACATTTTCGCTGTAGCTAGACACCTGTCAAAGATCACAGGATCATCCTCAATCAGCATGAGTAAACGTCCAAAAAATGCTGCTCCCTTCTTGGCTTGAGAAGCTCCAGCCTTTGTCAACGGGACACAGTCACACCCACGGAAATGACAGAAACTATATGACTGGTAGTCAAGCTAGCCCCCTGAGACAATAGCCTGCTGCTGCTACAAGTGAGCAGTATTACATTACAGAATTCCATGCTGGATGCAAACAGGCATTAGATCCTTTATGGGACAGAACGCTGTTCTGAGAACAGATGTAAGAAAATGGCTTCCAATTCGGGATCTGTAAAAATTGATGTCTGTTTTTAGCTTCAACTGGGCAAGCACTACTTGCCTGGTATGCCCCGACAGCACACCGCTGTTGTAGTTGTTTATCACCACTTTTCTTTGTGATATACATTTCCTCTTCAGTTGATTTTTTTTTTTTGAGCACACTTGGCTCTAACAATAACTGTCTGTGTAACATCATGTCTGTTTTTTGTGTCCCCTCTAGCTGCTCCAAGTACAGATGATGTGGCGCTGTACGTGGGCATTGTCATCGCAGTGATTATGTGCCTGGTCATCTCTGTCATCGTGGCGCTCTTTGTCTACCGCAAGACACACCGTGACTTTGACTCAGTCATCATTGACACCTCAGCGCTCAATGGAGGCTTCCAGTCTGTTAATATCAAAACAGCCAGATCAGGTAAGGAATATCACGAATATGACATTTGATCCAGGGTGGCAGGAATACTCACGTAGAAAGACTGATATCCAGTTTCAAGAATAACTTAACATCAAGTTTAAAAGCAGAGTTTCACCGCCATCTCTGGTTGAATGTTTCAAGCTTGTTGCACCTGTTACACCCAAGTAATGTCATGGAGTACTCGTGTTCATCTCTACTGCAAGGTGAGAAACTAAACCACCAGAAGATTTTCAGGGTCTGTTGAGTTACTCTTTAAACACTAAATTTAAAAGAAAGAAATATAAAAAAAACCCCACCTAATTCCACTGAAGAAAGTACAGTACATGTTAATGACCAAAGATGTTCTCATACCACAGTTGTATCAGCTGTATTCTACTAACCCTGTAAGGATGCGATATGATTGCTGCCATTGTTGTATGGCATGGCTCAGGATGAACCCTTTGTACAACATGAACAAATACATGAATTCCATAGAATCTGTTTTTTTTTGTTTGTTTTTTTTACAGTGGAAACAGCTTATAGTGATCAGCCTATAAAATGCTTTTTAATTAATCCGCCTGTAGTGATCAAGTAGTCCACTTACAGTGTTTATTTGGGTCTTTTCATACTTAACAACATATGGAAAAAGAATTTAAAACTGTTGTAGCCTACTACTGCAAGCTCGGTATGGTAATGGTAATGGATTAGCTCTTAGACTTGCGTACTCGCCAACTCCCTATTTTTAGCCAGTATCGGAGGCATTTCCGATTCAAGTATTGGAAGCGGAACAACTCCATTAATAACTTTCTTTTTTCTTTTTTTTTTTTTTTTTGCCTGCACTCCTGTGGGACGGGGGTTTATCATTCAGTAGCTTAAATGCTTTAGTCTGACTAGCCACGTATAGTCAGTGCTCCATAGAGAACACACAGGAAGGTCAAAGCACAGTCTGAAACAAAACAACAACTGCAGGCCTGATGAGGACTCACATTCTCCCAAAGAGAGGAGAACATAATTCATGTTACTCTTAAATTTTGGCATTACATAATGTACACAACAATAGATCGATACGTAAATATGGATATATCTATGGACAGATACATAGATTGATAGGTGGATAACAAACAACAGATGTGAACATCCCTCTATGGAAACAACTACGTGCTCCGTCCACTTTGAGGCTTTGATGCCAGTATCATTTTGTTTCTTTCCTTGGCCGCCGGTTGTCAGTTCTTGCCGGTTTGGATTAATCTCTGTCTCTACCAGAGACCACTCTCTTCCATCAAGAAGTCTTTCTGTCATTCTCCTTCTCTTTCTCACTCTTTCTCTACCTTCCCATCTGCACATTCAGGTCAATCACATTTCCTGTTTATCAGCAACCTCCTCTCTTCATCTCCGTCTCAGTGTCTCTGTCTTTCCTCAGCTGTGTCTCCGTCTCTCCCATCACAGTGACTCCTACTGCAACGGACACTCCCTCCCTGTTTGTCTTCCTGTTTAAGTGGAGCCATGTTTCACTCTCTGCTGTCTGTATTGTCATTTCTTCCTCCCTGTCTTGGAAAATGGATAAGTCAACAAGAGGCAGGCAGCCACACACTTGCGCACACAAGCGCATGCATTTGATAGCTTACTGGAAATGCCGGGAATGGGCAGGGAATTGGTATGAATCAGGTATCAGTCCACAGATGCCATGGACTTGTGATTTTCCCTCTGAGATATTTTATTTGTCAAAGAGGTGACAAAGATCACTTGGCTTAAAATCTACAAAACATAAGAAACCTGTCAAACATGCTCAAAAATTCACCCATTATAGCCCGAAGGCACATTCACAAAATGATATTCACTCATTCACCACAAATCTAAATGAAATACTATAAATTAGATGGCTTCAAATAAAAATGCTCATACTGGTACTCATCATACTTAATAGTGCTTGATAATCATCATTTGGTCAACTACAAAATGGCATTTTAGCAAAGGGTCACATCTACACACAGATTTAACACCTTTAACAGGACACTTAAATAATTCAGGGTGTGTTTTTTTGTGGACAGTTGTGGGTGGAAGATTATTATTCATATCATGGTATACAGTAAAAACAGAGTGAGGTCAGAGAGGATGCAATGCAAACTGTTAAACAGCAAGTGTGTATGCGGGCGTGTGTGTGTCCGTGTGCATGTACAAGGGTGAATGTCTTTGTCTGTGTGGTGATTTTATCAGTAAAGTATTAGGATGCTTGTCACTCTGCGCTGAGGGACCATCTCCAATTACTATTAATGAAGAATTATGTCCCTGCAATATCTCTCCCTCTGACTTTCTGACTCTCTCTCTCACTCTTTGACTTTCTGACTCTCTCTCGCTCTCTCTCCGTCTCACACACACACACACTCACATAGACACACTCTTCTCTCTCTCTCTCTCTCTCTCTCTCTCTCTCTGTGGCTTTCCATTAGCTGTTAATTAAATTTCAGCAGGGATGATTTGGCAGGAATACCCACTGGCTTTAAGGGTAAACAGCCTGGTGATAGAGAGAGGAAGAGAGTGATAGGTGACAGATGTGTGTGTATGTGTGTGTGTGTGTGTTGTGGGGGTGGGTTAAGTGGTGGTGGTGGGGTGATAATGAGGGATTTTCAAATTAGAATGGATGGGCTCTTGGAGGGAACAACAGGATTTCAGGCTCTACGACCAAAAGAAGAAGAAAAAAAACAGAGGCTGGTGTGAACAAAACTGGAATTGTCCTCAGTAGGTAGCTGGCCGTCCTGCGATGCCAGTATGAATTAAGTCTTGAATATTTGTTTTATTGCTTTTCCGATGGGAGAGTTTTTTGTATAGAAGCACAATTTGTTGTTTTTAAGCCCTGTAGGTAAAATGTGTTAAACTGAAGTGTTGTGGCAAGATGGCTCCTTTGGAGTCTGTTTGAGCACATTCACTTGGTTCACTGTGGGAAAGTAAATCTTCATGTACTATTTACTGTTTGTTAATAATGACAAATGTATTATTATTATTATTGTTGTTACAATCAATATCACTTACCAATTACCTAGGAGGAAATGAGCCTAACATTCTGGCAGATAGAACAGAGTGGTCATTCTCATTAAAGCATTTCCAATAATTTCATACTGATACTTGATTACCAGAATGTGTTATTTGGAGTTTCCTGCAGAAGATCAATATTTACTCTAAGGAAGAACTCATTAAACCCACTACAGTATTTAATTCAGCGACGTCTGGAGTGTCAAGCAGAGAGTGATCGCTAAAGCTAGAGAGGATGTAGTTGCATTTCATAACTAAAATAAACATATCGTAAACTATCTGAATATTGCATGCACATGGATTAGCATACTGTACTGATTAGCAATCACCGTGTTCATGCAGTTGCCTCCTGGCTTACACTAACCTTTGCACGATGAGCACAGAATCTCAGAAAGGCTTGGCGATCCATCCCTACTGACATGTAATCCCCGTACACTGTATGTAATGTGTGTTTGTGGTGTTTACATGTATGAGCGAGTACACTGCATTTTATTGGTATGCAAGACTCATTCTTGCATGCGTGAGCATTTTGTTTTACATTGCAGATGTATTTTTATTTATTTACACACTGCTTGTGTGTGTGTGTGTTTAAGTGGGGCACTTGAGTGTTTAGCTCACATTACATGAAAAGTGTCAAGATTCCACCATTAGCAGCCGTCAGCTGTGACTACTGGAGCAAATGCAGCGTAGAACATCAAACTGTAACTGGTGGAATACACTCAGTTGCCTTAATTCACACCTGACCCGGCAATGGAGAGTCTTATTTTGCCTCCACTGATGATTTCATTCTGAGCTTCATCATTATATATTAAATAACGTGGACCAACCCATTACTTTGTTTAAAGTACTTCTACATCCTCAGTAGGTTTGGTATGACCAGGAGCATATGGTGGCTAATGTTAGCTAACTAAGATAGACACTGACTTTACTCTGACTTTATGGCTTTTGAATACTCTTGCTGCTGTTGCACTACATTTAAGCATGTTGCAAATAAAGATGATAATGTCTTTAAATGAAAATAATTGTCCTGTAATTTGCCACTTGTGGCCATAGCAGCAGCTGTTCAGCAAAAGTTACATCATCATGTTCACTTTAGTCAAGTCAATTTATTTATAGAGCAGGTTTTAAAAGCAACAAACGGTGAGCAAAGTGCTTTACAGGAGAGATTAAATTATGTTATTATTTGATTGATGATTACAATCACACAACACAGGAATGATCAAATAAAAAAATACAGATAAGTAAATGAATAGAATATCTTGATAAAACCATAACACAACAGCATTGCACAGCAAGAAATAAAATACAAACAAATAAAAGCCGGTGTGTTTGTGGTCAGGCAAGTCTTTATGATGACAATTAAGAGGCTAAAGAAGAGAGATTGTTTTTTTAGATCGGTTTTACAGATATCAGTGGAGAGGGAGGATAGAATTGCTAACGGCAAACTATTCCACAATTTAGGGCCAGCAACTGAAAATGCTCGATCACCTTTGGTTTTGAATTGGGTGCGTCGACCGGAGAGCAGTGATTCAGATGCGATAGGTGTGGAGATGCACAACAAATAAAAGACTCTTAAAGTCAATTCTGTACTTCACTGGTAACCAGTGAAGAGAGGCCAGTGCAGGGCAGATGTGGTCTCTCCTCCTTGGTACCAGTGAGGACTCTTGCTGCTGGGTTTTGAAGCAGCTGCAGGCAATGAACTGATTCAGAATTGCACTAGTAGCTTTTGTTTTGTCTACTGATTTACAAGGTTTGCTTGAATATTTCATAGCGTACATTGAATATTGTCTTTCTCATTCTATTCCGAATAAAGTACATGTCTGTATATTCACATCATGATATTTGAATAATGAGGGTAAAAAGACTTTTTAGAAAACATCACATACAGTATAACATAACTATCTTCAGAACCCAAATAAATCAGTCTGAAAAATTGTTACTGTCAGTGAACAAATGACATGTTAATGTGCGCAGCAGGTATTGTCAGTCACTTTTGAATCCTGACACAGTTAGCATTTTAAAAATAGACAGTGATGTGATTAAAGTGTGGCAACCTCTGATTCTGTGGGTGAAGTTGAGTCGCTTACAACAGTTTGAAGAGCTTTAAGCCCGGCATGGAGCTGTACTGTCATTATATATTAAAAACAGAGTTAGGTCAAATGAGGGATATGCGAGTTTGATTTTCTGAGATTTAAATAGGAACGAAACCTATATAAGTTTCAATGCCTATGACATGAAGTCTAAGCATTGTCTTCAAAATATGCACACATTTTCCCTCTTTCTCTCTCCTGCTGTCTCTTTCCTCCCCACTCTCTCCCTCTCCTTCTCTCTCTCTGTGCAGGATCCATGACTAGCCCTTGATCCAGGTCATGCCCCTGTGTACTGCAGTGTATCATACCAGACACTGATACCTTATCAGCAGCCTTACTTGCGCTCGTCTTACTCCCCTTATTCCTGCTCACTGATCTTGTTACAAGTTTTACACATCTGTGTCATACTGCAGCCATGCATTTCATACTACTGAAGATATCAAGTATTTAGTGTTAGCCGTCCCTTTCCTTCTCTTTTTCAACTTGATCTCTGACCACATCTGCTTTGTGGTTTCATATAAAAAAAAAAAACTTGCTTCTCATATTGTTTTTTCACTATTTTCTCTCCATTTACTCCTTTTCTCTCTTCATCTTTCACTCTATCCCTCTAGCTGATCTACTGACGGCTCCTCCTGACTTGACGAATGCGGCTGCCATGTACCGTGGTCCAGTGTATGCCCTCCATGATGTGTCAGATAAAATCCCAATGACCAACTCCCCTCTCTTGGACCCTCTTCCCAACTTGAAGATCAAAGTGTACAACTCCTCTGGTCTGGTCACACCGCAGGATGACCTCGGAGGAGACTTCACATCCAAACTGTCTCCTAAGGTAATGTCTCCTTAACGCTAATGCCTGTGTCTTTCCTCCACTTCTACTGTAAAATATTCTGTATGTACACAGGAGGGTTTTTAAATATTGCTTCCTGAGGTGTGAGGTTACACTGAACTGCGGGAGCGCAGTGAGAAATACTGAAACACGGTAGCTGTGTATTCCCAGTCACATAAATACAAAACCAAACACCATTAGTATACATGCAGCTCAGTGCCCCAGTTTCCTCACTCTGCTCTGTAAACTACATGGCATGCATACCAGAGTCAGTTGTCACAAATACAGATGAAACCGCTCGGTTTCATTACAGCACCTATCCTCAGGCAGCACAAGAGCCAAACCTAACTTTTATTATTGCTGGTTTTTAATTGTGGCCTTTTTGAACCACTGCTGTGTCTGTGACTGACCTTGCCTCACTGATTTGAGGATTTTTTTTTCTTCATTTTTTTGCATTTATTTTGTTTTTAGTGTGGTGTCTGTCCTTAACACACTGAGGCAAATTCTTGTCAGCTTTGTGTGATGTTGGAGTAAACTACTGAATGTTAAGTCCTTATTTTACATCTTGCAGTGGACATTTTGATGAAGAAATGCAAAGAAGGTCATATTTTACCACTTACCCTAAGGTGGTTTCATAGGTCTATTGTAAATCCACCCTCTTCTCACAGCCTGCCAGCTCAGCCCTATGGCAGCGCTCCCAGGCAGATGCAGATCCTCCCTGTAGCATTTTACTTAGTGAATACCAAGAAAACATAAAGAAAAAAAGCAAAGCATCTTGATGAATGCAGTGAAATTCAAGTGGAAAAGGGAGCATTAACATATTCCCCTTTCAATGCTTGCCCTAATCAACCTGGCAAAAATGAAACTACACTGAATGATCTCGGCAACCAGATATTGGCCTTGCGCACACGACTTCTCTGGACCTCCTTGAACTTTTTTGGTTTCATGAGGATGTATGTTTACAGCACTTAACATCAGCTCTTTCAGAGGAAGTTCGTCCTTCAGACCACACCACATTGATTTTCTGCTCATGTATATGTCCACGTCTTTCAGCCTCCTCAGAGTATAGGTGTAGCTTGCTTTTATGTATGAGGGTATGCACAGTAGTATACACTAACTCTGTAACATATAACATTATAAACTGCAGTGCTACAAAAAATACAGACCAAGTCCCAAGGATTTTTCATATTGTTTGCCATAAGTGTCATGTATCCATTCAAATTCTTCTTATGTCATAGAGGTACAATAGAGTCAATGTCAAAAAAGGAAAAAAAGATTTCCAAGGTGAATGCATCTCTGCTGCTATAAAACACTATTGCTCAGTCAAATCAGACCTTGATTCAGCAATAGGTTTTAATACCTTCAGACTTCCAATTGATCCAGTCTCTGCTGATCAGCAGCATGCCCAGTTCAGTCAGTTTCAGCATGTTATGTTTCCTTATACCCCGTAAATCTTTCTTGCTCTCACTGCTGTATTTTCATTCCTAGGTAACTCAGTCTCTGTTGGATAACAGTGACACCATGAACCTCCGCAACCAGAGCTTAGCCCGCACAAGAGACCCCTCCTGCACAGCCCACGGGTCCTTCAACAACCAGGGAGGACACCTCATCGTTCCGAATTCTGGTAAAATTATTATTCTACAAACATTTAATGCCTAAACATAAATGTGGCTGACATTAAGTAATGAAATTTTTATAGATTCTTCAGTATTGGGTTTCAGATCCAAGACCATTTTCTGGATTTTCGCTTATTAAATTAAGAAATAATAATTCATTACATTACATTAACTGCTGATGATAGTAAGAATTTAGAATTAAATCTAATCAAATTAAAGTTAATACTGTCTAATGAGAATTATTATAAATTCAAACAAGACCAGATCCATTTTCTTTACTAAAAACTGATTACACAAAGTAAGTAAAAGTGTCTAGCTACCACACACAGTCAACATACTAGACAAAACAGCCTTGAGATGTTCAAGAAAAGGAACTTTCAGTAGACTTATGTTCAGATTTAAAAGCAGTAGGAAGGGAAAAATAATGAATAATATAACCCTCTGATAGGAAGCAGCTCTCAGAAGCTATAAAACATCTAAGCACAATTCACTTGATGATATATTTAAGAGAAAGTTTTACACGGGTTGCCTTTAAAAATGATTATTCAATTATTAATCATAATGATAAAGTGATAATAGGTTTCATGTTCAATAATTCAGTTGTGCATGGTGAAATTAATAAATCCAGTGATGAAACTCATTTCTGCCTCTATCCATCCTGCTTCCCCTGTCTTCCCTCCTGCAGGTGTGAGTTTGTTGGTTCCAGCGGGTGCTGTTCCTCAGGGTAGGGTGTACGAGATGTATGTGACTGTGCACAGAAAGGACAGCTTGAGGTAAGCTTTGTCTCTCTATTTCACTGAGTTTTCTTCTCTGGTTTTTTTTCCTCACTCTCTCTCTTTTGTTCCCTGTTGTCCCACATTTTTCTCTTCATCTCCGCGTCTCCCTCTGTGCTCTTTTTGTTTCATCGTTTTTCTTTGTATTTCTCTGTGTTTCTCCTGGGCAGCAGCTTCTCAGACCTGTTTGTATGGTTGCACGGTGAGGCTTTCACAGTGTGACATGGATTTAGGACACACAGAAAGGGATGAATCATTATTATTTATAGTGTATAGTTTATACATGCACACCTTCTTTTGGTGATTCATAGAACAGAGGTCGGTTAATGCCGCAGAATGCCTATATTAACGCCAGAATTAAAATTCCTAAGAAGCAAAGTTGAGGAGATTGTAAGGGAATATTCTACATATTAATTGTGACCGACTTAACATTATAATCTCCACAGTAATCCACAGAATTTACATCGTTAACCAGTGTTTCCCAAAGTTTAAAAATGTAGAGCTCATAACAAGATGTATGAAACTTCTGCTGCTGCAGTGCGACCAGCAGATTTGTTTTCTCTTCATGTTATAGATCCAATAACCAAACACTGAGCTTTTGAAAGCATATGCAAAGAGATCACTGTTTCCACAGTAACTAACAGATTAGTGGCTATTTTTGGGATTACTGAAATCCTGTTACATGTACTATAATCCTTCACTCCCAAACCATGTGCATGATTGAGGTAAAGCTGTCTGTAGGACACGACAGGAAAGGGAGAAGATTTCTATATTCCAGTGTTGCAGATTTGGTGAATTTTTTGGGACTCTATTTGAAAGTTAGGGGTCACTACAGTGTGTGGCAAAAACATAAATGAACACAGGTGTCTGCACAAGCTTGCAAATGGCAATTGAGATCAGAATAGATATTTTTGTTCCTCCTGTTAGGTGAGAGAGAAATGGTTGGATTGGATGGATTTAAATTGAGAGAATCAGTATGTATCCTGCTGGTTTGCTTTTCACTGTCCCTTCAAAGTCACTTGTTTAGATTGAAGACGTGCCGTTTTTCTGCCTGTCTATCCTCTTTCTTCTCCCCACCAACACAGCTAAACCATTCAGAGCAGCTGCAAGTGGTAAATTTAAAATATGTCTGTAGAACCGAACATTTTCTCACTCAGAGCAATGCAGATGGTTTGGGTTTTATTTGCCCAGTTTTTCAGATATCTGTCTCTTTGCTACACATTCCAGCACAGTGGAGGTGAATCAATTTTGTTGGTGAAAATTCAACAGCAACTCAGTGGTCAGTTTACACTGGATAATCCATTCAGTACGCTATCAGCAGTTTTTATAGGGGCTATTTCTTCAGAGGAAAATAGTTTCAGTGAATACTGTTTGCAGCAAGGTTTGTGCAGCGTCCCTTGTGAAAAGGACTCTGCCTCTAGAACTACACATTGCTTTTGACTCTTTTAAATGTATATTTTTAATGTTGAAATCACTATAAACCACCTGCACTGTATTGGTTGGTGGGAGCAACAATGTTCCTTAAAAGCAATCTCAAAAAAAAAAAAGTATCTGCATGGCTGGATACCACAAAGACTAAGTGAGTAAATATGTTCTTTAATAGTTTGGGTGAACCAACTTTTTAAAGCATCAACAAGAACTGAGCTTTAAGACACTTGTTACAGTTTGAATCAGATATTCTACCCCATGCATCTAATCTAGCTTCTCCTCGATCAACAGCAGTCAATAAGAATTATCCCCCCCCCCCTGCAGTGTGCTACAGTATTTCTAGGAGTCAAACCTCTTCACTGTCCTCTGTCTTTATCTCAGTCAATAGCTGGCAAGCAAAAATCACATGGCTACATTGACTTACCTCAGCAACACTGAGCAAGCCAGATGCATGTGGTTAAGCTCATTAAAAGCTAACCCCTAGCTGTCAGTTTTCCCACATGCGCACACTTAAAACATCTATTTCCTCTATTTGTGTAATAAAAGATACATAACATTACAAATCAATAACACTATAATTCATTAAGGGGTGACCCCTGCGTTAGGTAAATCAAAGGCTGCTGTTACAGTTTGAGTCATACTGTTTTTATCTGTTAGCTTCTCCTACCCAATGTGAACCCTTCATGAGTCAATAATGAGCTCCAGCAGTTGAATCAATAATGCTGCTAAGGATTAGTGCCCCCCTGACACAAGGTGGGCTGGAAAAAAAATCACTTAAAATTTAGATCCATCTCCTCTATCTTTATGGGCTCTTTCCCAGTCAATGCATATCTTCTGCAATATGAGGGAAGAACATGACTGGATAATGGATCACACAGGAGAACTCAGCCAGTCATTTCCTTGTGTATTTTTCATAGTTAAGTATTGTTTAAGGATGTAGTTTTACTTTTCAATTTACAAATGACAGTGGGCTTATGAATATGGATGGAGTTCTTCATGTGTAATCTCACACTTATTCACAGTGAAAGAGGCTGAAGTATTCTGTTGCTTTAACAACAGGTTCCAGCACTTCTGCTGTGAAACGCAGGTGAATCTGTGACCAGTAGTCATTTATTTTCTGCCCATGAGCTGTGAACTACTGACTCCAGCTGAGGCCCGTCTGAAGCCCTGCTGACTACACTAACAAAGCTCTAATTGAATCTGTGCTGCTCTGCTCTGATCTGTTTTGTTCTCTGATTTTCTCATCTGCTCTAAGCTAGTCTAGCCTACTCTAGTGTAACGGTCCACCTGTCTTTTTTTATTTTGCTAGCCAAGGTTTTCTATATATGAACATTATGACTAAATAGCACAGACTAGAAGTGAAATCAATACAGCTTTCTGCAGTTGATGCTCACACTAATTGGTAGCCAACAGTGCAGCCCTCCTGTCGCTCTTTTCTAAAGAATCATTTCACCTCAGTGTTATCTGTCTTTTCCAGACCCCCGGTCGAGGACATCCAGACAGTGCTGAGCCCTGTGGTGAGTTGTGGACCTCCAGGAGCCCTGCTGACCAGACCAGTGATCCTCACCATCCACCACTGCGCTGACAATGTCCAGGAAGACTGGCTCATACAGCTGAAGAACCAACTGGCCATGGGAGAGTGGGAGGCGAGTGTTCTGCGCTGTGTCTTTTGTGTTTGTGTGTCCTGTGCATGGAGCTCTGTACTTAAAGTGCGCAGCTTTTCAATGCCACTGCTCTAACCAGGACAGTGTCTGTATATGTGTTTACACTAAATAGTCTAACACCTGCACACAGACAAATTATTAATTCACAATCATATACACATACATTACTTCAGCCTGAAGAGTAGCCTGCATTACACATGCAGTGAGGGAGGGAGAGCAAAAGAAAGAAAAGGAGGGAAATTTTGGTAAACATAAAGTGCCTACAGGCTAGTAGACAAGTAGGGGGTTGAAGACTCCTATCAGAAGCAATTTGTTATGCTCCTGCCATCCTCCTCTTCTCTCATCTTTCTTCTTATGTTTCTATCCCTCCTTTTTTCTACCCTTCTCTCTCTCTCTCCCTCCTCTCGTGTCTCTCAGCATGAAGTCTCTACCTCAGCAATCTGTTAGTGTATGTGTGTGTGTGTGTGTGTGTGTGTGTGTGTCTGTGTGTGTGTGTGTGTGTGTGTGTGTGTGTCTGTGTGTGTGTGTGTGTGTGTGTGTGTGTGTCTGTGTGTGTGTGTGTGTGTGTGTGTGTGTGTCTGTGTGTGTGTGTGTGTGTGTGTGTGTGTGTGACTGCGTACGTGCGTGTCTGTGTCTGTCTCTGTGTCCATGTTCGTGCGTGTGTGTGTTTGTGTGTGTGTGTGCGTGTGCGTGTGCGCGTCCATGTGCGTGCGTGTATCCTTGTGTGTGGGTGTGGGTGATAAGGCTGTCTTGCAGCATCACTGTGTCTACAAGGCCCCCGTATGCTGTCTTCTGTTGCTTATCACAGCTCAACACAATGTCTCTGCACAATTAGCCATGCATAAGATTCTGTGTGTGTGTCTTTGTCTGTGCGTGTGTGTGTGTGAGAGAGAGGGAGAGAGATGCACAGAAGGGGTTGGGTGCAGACTGGGTAAAGACGAGAAAAATGAAAAGTGGAATTTCATCAGGAAGTCGATTTGTTTTTCTCTTATTTCAGAAGAACATCCATTTCCCATCAGAAAGTTTTCCTCAAAACAGGGAGAGGAAGGTAATTGAATTCCCCTCACATCAGGGGGGAGCAGCCACGGTTATGATTACCAGTAATAACAGATTCATACCATATTGCTTTCCTACCCCTTTGTATTGATTCAGTGCATCTGTAGGAACACGACTGAAGGAACTGTGATTCCAAACTCAATATTTGCATCGCACACTTGCGTGCACAGCACACAACATCCGTGCTGCAGTGTGTCTGCATCCACATACATGCACACACAATTACGCGAGCATTGATACGTGCACAACTAATTGAAGATTCGGTCAACATATGAAAAGAACGCAGTGAGCCTGTGCATCCTCCCTCAACCCAAAGAGCCATATGGATTTACCATAATTCAGACTATGACAGAGAGCGGTGGGAATGATATGAGCAACAGCCAGATAATCACAGAGGAATTGAGCACACTTTACAGACAACGGCTCAGATTAAGTGCCATCATTCTCCTAATGGACACCATGATCTACTTTCATAGGTCGTATGTACAAGCAGACATGCATTCAAATTTCAATTCAGCATCACGTTATGAATACATTCACAATCTGGTGAATTAAACATCCTGTAGCATGTTTTCTAAGATGAATTACCAGAATAACAGGAGCAGTTTATTGTTCTGTTTATTATCTTTTTAAAAAGATCCACAAGCCAAAATGATTCAAACTCAAGATTTTTTGTCAGGCTTGCTTAAAGATAAAGAATAAATGTGTAGAGGTGGCGCAGCTCTTCACACATCAGTGCTGCCATTGCATTGGAAAAAAACTGTTTATAGCAACAAAGGAATGTATCAGGTATAAACCACAACCTTGTTTACACAGGGGCTGTTTGCATTAGCGGAAATGGCTCCAGTTGTGTTATATTAACAGACAGAAAGTGGCTTAATGTCCGTAAATTCTCAAATAAAGCCGGTCTTCAAATAAAGGCCAGGATTTAACAATTGTGATGTACAAACAAATAAAGTCTGGTCTCAAATAAAAAAGGGGGAAAAACAAGATTTCCTGGACTGTGGCTGACTCTGTAAATTCAGAATAATCTACATTTCCACAGTTTCTCTATCAGCACAGGGACATAGTAATGCCATACTCTCACTGATCATAGTATGTTGTTTAAACACTGATACTGTTGTCATACACTATTTAACTGAGACTGGCTCTTTTTTAGTTATTCATGTTGATGAAACCCAGTATTCCCTTTTAGATGTTTCCTTTAACAGATCAAGCAAAGGTTGAGTTTGCTTTGACAGCAGCAAATTGTTGCTGTAAATAGGAATTGACTGCAAGACAAACAGGCTACTTACTAATATGTAATAATATATATTATAATACAGCAGAGATTGGAAAATGCAGAGCTCTTTTTAAGAGCCCTTAATCTATCTTCAGTTGAGATGAGTAAAGGCTCACATGGTAAATTCACCCTTCAGTATTTGAAAACTTACAAAATGCCACTCTCAGCCACCCATCTTGGACCCAGCATGACACTGTGAAAGTCTAAGAATGCGTTTGACTCTGTGTGTATGATTCCTACAGGATGTGGTTGTCGTGGGAGAGGAAAACTTCACCACCCCCTGCTATGTGCAGATGGACTCAGAGGCATGTCACATCTTAACAGAGACACTGGGGACTTACTGCCTGGTGGGCCAATCAATGGGCAAGGCAGCCGCCAAGAGGCTCAAACTGGCTGTTTTTGGACCCGTCTCCTGCACAACATTGGACTATCACATCAGGGTCTATTGTCTGGATGACACACAGGATGCACTCAAGGTGAAGTATTGAAACTAAATGACTCAAACCCAGTTGCTTTTCGGTCCACTGAATTAACCTATATGAGTGCACACACATTGTATACATATGGACATATCATATACAGTATGTATCTACAGTACATATTACTTTGCCAAGTTTTTCCGGTGCCTTGAATAACAGTGCAGGTAAGGAAGAGAGGTGTGATGTTTTAGGCTGAGTGCCTTGTTGTGTTCTTTAGTCCTGTGAGGGATTTTGTTCTCTCTTCGACCACTCGTAATAATAATAATAATAACCCATAATTTGCATTTGAAATAAAATATATTATAGCTTGAATAGAAGTGATTGTCTGGAGTCATAAATAGAAGTTTCCTCACCTCTAGTCTTCTGGAAATGAGCCGAGAAGCAGTAAACAAAACAGGGTCAAGCAATGTCAAAATAGCGATGCTTTAGAATTCAAACAAATTCAAAGCACTGGAGGGACCATCTGATATGGGAGATTAACACTGGCAATTTATGCATGCAATGATAAGTCAAGTGTCAGCGTGGCACACAGCCATGCACACACTCACACAAGCGTCGGCGCGCACCCAGTTTTAACATTTCAAGCGATTGTAGCTTGAAAACAAAGTTGAGAGGTGGACTTTTTAATGATGGAGACTTTGTGTAGTATAATTGATTGGTTGGCGTTTCAAAGAGGAAGTCTCTGCTGTGTGTCTACAGTGGAGCTGCCACGTAGGAAGATGATGGGAAGGAGGAATTGATTATTGTGAAAAGGCTGTAGGAGGCATCAGAAGTCACAGTGATAACTTATTCTTCCATCAGAAAATAAATGCGTGTGTGTGTGTGGGGAGGGGGGGTTTGCTCATTCAAGCGAATGCATTTCAAGAGCATGTAAATATGTTGATGTTATCAGTGTGTGTTTATCATTATGCATGCTGGTGTGTCCGTAGAGTACAGATAATTTCTTTGTGTTCTCATGGTGTAGGCTTAGTTCATATACAGAAGTCAATGTGAAAAGGATGAGCAAAAATCCCCACAGGACTGTGTGCAATGTATTATTGAACAACTGCAGCACAGCAAAGTAAAATCAACTACTTCCTTTAGTTCACCATGTGGCCAAAGACATCAAATGGGTAATAGCAGTTTTACATTAACTGACTTTTTCCCATTTGCTGAAAACGGAGACAGTAAATTAAAACAAAAGCCTTTGTTAAGTGTAGTTCATCACCTTTCTGAATCTGTCCTGGGTGAGGTGGTAGGTAGAGTATAGAGAGTCTGAATGATATGATAATAGAGGAAAAAATGTGCTGCAAAATCTGATCAGAATTAAGTTTACTTCTCTGTGTTTTTTCCTAAGTAGTGAAGTACATTGAGGTCATCTTCTAAATCAAAGCAATAGAAGTCATTTGATTTCACTGTGTTAAATGAAAGATATGCTTCATTTCCCCACTTTTCACAACACCAGCACTTTGACTGGAGGTGCATTATTAATTAAGGTTTATCATTGAGCATCCAAATGTCTCTCCTCGGTTCAGTGTGGTTAGCAGAGCTAAGCTTTGCTTAAATCCAGGGAATACACCTACTGAGATGTATGATGATATCTCAATGAAAACTTTGATGTGTTTCAAGTGTTTCACCGTGCTGTGTTGCTGCTTCAAGGCAACATTCAAGAATTCACGGCGGCATCGTCTGCAGTAATTATGCCAGATAAATTAAAGGCTGTCTACCATCTCTAATGCTGTATGTAGAATTAATGGTTCAGTGAGCAAGATGAAGGAAAAGCAATTTGAAGCAGTTATTGTTTTTTCGTGTGGATTTTGTGTAGGAGGTTCTTCAGATGGAGACCCAGATGGGAGGGAAGCTTCTGGACGAGCCAAAGACTCTGAACTTTAAAGACAGCACACACAATCTGAGACTGTCAATCCACGACGTGCCACACACACACTGGAAGAGCAAGCTCATCGCAAAGTATCAGGTGAGAGGGATATAAACACACACATACACTTAAAGACATCAAAGGTAGAGTATACACAGAGTATACACAGTGTGATCTTCGCACACACAGCAAATGTCACAGTTTATAGTTCTACTTTACTCTATGTTTACACTATATACACTATGGTACGGCTTTGTGTTACTGTACATTTTTGCCTCGAACGTTTTCACTATTATTCACCTTGATGAATAATAAAAGTTACTAAAAAACAGACCAAAAATATTTCTTTGCAAAAAGATGCCTATTATTTGTGCACTTTCTAGGAGATCCCATTTTACCAGGTGTGGAGCGGCGGTCAGAGAACTCTTCACTGCACCTTCACCCTGGAGAGACTGAGCCCAGCCACCACAGAGATCAGCTGCAAACTGTGTGTACGGCAGGTGGAGGGAGAAGGACAGATCTTTCAGCTCAGCAACACTTTGGAGGAGGTAAGGCGGTAGAAATTCACATTCACGCAGCCACACAGACGCTGTTTGTTGGATATTGTGCGAGGACACCTTTAAGTCACACTGGTTGAGGGCAGGATAGAATACATACCAAAAAGAAATGAACACAGTTACATAGAGAAAGAGGGCTTCCTTCTACATCCTTGTACTAACTTCTACATTCTGGCACTAAAGGTCCTAAAGTCACCAAGTTTTTCCTCTGTCTGTCAGACATTCAGGGTTCCTGCTGTGGTTCTGTGACTCTGTTCAATCATTCATACTGGGGCTAGAGGTCACATAACACGAGAGGAATAACTCATCTTTGATTTTGCTGGGCCATGTAACCACAAAGTCACAGAATGTGTGTGTCTTCGTGTGTGTGCGGGGTGTGTCTGTCTGTGGCCATGTGTGAACGGTTTTGGTCGAAGGTCAGACAGTTCTGTTGGAATGTCACTGCTTTGAATTCTCCCATGGTGTTCACGGATGATAGCGTTGCACTTTAGAATTTTTTAACCCTTGGTTAACCAGGCATGATGGATAGTTTTTTTTTTTTGGTTTTTTTGCTGCATATAGTATAGCAGTTGCAATGGAGGGTTACCCATATTTTGTCCTCTTTCAGCTCTGGTCACTGAGCAAAATGAGAATGAAAGTCAAGGTCTGTAACCTAGAGAAAAATGCATGTAGTGGACTTTTAAATTGCTGCTCATCAGTGTTGATTAGTTTCAAGGTATCTCCAGTTAACAGGGCTGATACATCCTGGTCGTAACACGCAGAACATTTCAAAGTGATTAAAGGTTAGTCATCGTTCTCCAACCTTCATCCAAGCATATTGCCTGTCTTCAGTGTAGAAGCTCTGCCTCACTTCTTTCCCTTTCTCCACTCGTCTCAACCATCTTTGCACCACTTTTGTGTCATCCTGCCCAGGGTTATGCACTATAGATTTTTGAGGCGCACACTGATATCAATAAAAAAAAAAAGCTGATTACAATATTCAACTTGCCAGTGCTCTCAGGTGGACGGACTATTTAATAGAGACACAGTTTCTAAACTTTCTCAAACATACTTTTTTTTGGCTAATATCTGCAGGAGGACACAAGGGTGCACACAATTCCTGTTTACAAATACAGACAATTATCCTCCTTTACTTTAGACCTCAACTCAAGAAGCAGGCAGAATAGTTCAGGGCACTAAATTCAAATATAGCCACAGTTTTGTAGGTACATTTTCTCTCATGTTTTGACACCAAGTAATGTGGGCAAAACGACTTTGTGAGTCACTTATCAATTCTCATTCACAACTTGCCTGTAAAGTCTACATCCAGTTAAAGAAGTTGTGATGATTTGCTTCTGTGACTTTTCTCACGATGTTATTAAACTGTCAGAGGTGCAAAATCGCACATAATAGAAATTTCCCATCCGGCTTTTCTCCTACTCTCTCCTACTCCTACTCTAACCCTATATTATGACTTTATAGGGAAAGACGCTTCTTTTGCGGCAACACAAATATTTTTTCAAACGATCAGTTCTAATCCATTTACATCAGCCACACCTAGTCTTACAAAATAATTACTATGGTCACATGGGATGTTCGGCATGTGCGGTAATTAGAGCTGAACAGCTAAAACAATATTCAGTGAGTCTGTGTGTGTAATGCATTAAATAAAACAGTGTAGACCCTCAACCAGCGAGCAGTGTTGAACAATGGAGAGTTAAGCAGATTTGAAACATTTATTATTTCAACAGAGGAACAGAGATGTCTCTTTGCATCAGTCATTCACTCTCCAGCCGCAGAGAGCTTTCTGCTGTAAATTGGGGCTAAGTAGACGCTGTAAATAGTAATCATTCACATCAACAGTGGCAGTTGTTGTTTCCCTCTGCCAAGCTACATTCATTAGACTGCTGCCTCCTTTCAGCCCAGGAGTGGCAGATTAATGGGATGAAGGCTTAGAAAGCAACATAGATCGACAGTGAGAGGAGAGAGAGAGAGTGCTCGGGAGCAGATCTTTGTGTTTGTTTCACTCTTGTATTAATTAGGAGACTCATCTGTAATTGGTCGCACGGAAGGCCAGAAGCAGGATATTTGCCAGAAGCACCAAGTTAGAGATGTAGCTTTGAATCTAACCTCAGTATTATTCATATTTTACTTTGAAGACTTTTCTGTATATAGTTTATAGATCCACCCCTTCTCTCTTGTGTCTCTACTGCAGAAGTTACACTATAGTATTCTAAGCACACAGCAATACGCATAAATCTAATTTCCCTATGAATTAAACCTTTCAAAAACAACTGACCAGTTTCTTTTCTGTCTTTCCAGGAGGTCCAATGCATAGACACGTCCCTGATGGACCCCGCCAGTAATATCACAACCTTAGTGGGGCCTAATGCCTTCCGCATTCCTTTATCCATCAGACAGAAGCTGTGTGGCAGTCTGGATGCACCGCAGACCAGAGGCAATGACTGGAGGATGCTGGCCCACAAACTCAACCTTGACAGGTGACACATGTGCACAAATTTTTTATCACTTATTTCCTTTATGCTTCCCTAAGGCGTTTTGCTTGGTTTGGAACATCATTTAGTCATAAAAGTTTGTCTCAAACAGGATGGCAGACCATCAAGGTTGTCTTGTCTGAGTCGATTTCTATTAATTTAAATGTGACTTGAGTCCTGGCAGATAAAATCAAACTCTTGTTCTTATTATATTACTTATTTCATCTCCTTAGGACTCCAAGATACAAAAGCACATGCAAATACCAATGAGGTATGATCGCGTTAATTGAATGCGACTGTGTCTTTTCTTACAGTGGAAAACAGTTGTGCGCAAAGAAAAACATTGGGTCACTCACTTCAACACCGTACTTTTGAACCTTTGCGTAAAATGCAATACTGCTGGACTCCCATGCACCTAAATAGTGAGGATGCCATTTTCTATTTGCATCAGACTCAAAGATAACATCCTTAATATCTCTATCCCCGGTGTGTCTCGATGATTCAGTCTGGAGGTTCATTTACCAGCAGCTAGCGAAGCAGAGGCAGATATTGAGAGGATAATTGGGCACAAGTGCACCTCATTGTCCCGACAGGCTGCCAGCTCATGATGCAGTCTGTTAATGTGGGCACCGAATATTCCTGATCAGTGGGTGAGAGAACGTACAGCTAGCCAAATCGTTGTTTACTTCCACATTTCTGCTAAACGCTACTCTTCAAAAGGAGCATGATGAAATGATCCAACAAGGAAATACCGTCTTTTTTCCTCTCTGCTTTTGTAACTGCCACATCATGTCTGTTTGACTTCAAAGTATGACTCATGCTTTGGCGTCACAGCCATCACTCCTCACACGACTTTCACAAATGGTGGGAACACACGCGTGCGCACGCACATACACACACACACAAAGAGGTGGGTCTTAGCTATTGGGTTCACTTAACAGCAGGATACCCTTATCACATACTGCAGACAGATGAAGTCTGAGACAGAAAAAAGTGAGAAGGAAAGAAGCTAAGTAAGAAAGGAAGTAATGAAAATGGCTTTATTAGCTGTTTACAGTGAGAGAAAGAAGCATGAAACAAGAATAAAATGTGCTGGAGGAAAAACTGACTGAGAGGAGCAGAGGAGTGTTGTACATGTCTGTGTTTGTGTTTAAACTGTACCAGTGTGTGCCAACAGCACAATCACAGGATTTACACAGGAACAGAAAGTCCCATTTTTATCCCCATGAGACTCAGATTTGATGGCTTTTCCACTTTGAAGCAGCGTTGAGATCTTTGTCACAGATGGCTCATCGTTCGACTTTTCCTCTGCCATCATTGTGTACTTGAATATCGACGGCTGCAATTCTTACTGCTAGTATAAAAACAGTTCTCTCTGTGGAGTTGCTGGTATATTTTTTCTCTACTGCAGCTTCAAAATGCATCTCTTTCCTTATTTGTTTAAAACAGTTTGAATTGAACACATTGTACTGTCAAATTTTCTAAAATAAAAGATGTCATCTGCCACATTTCAGATGGCTAAAGATGGCTAGATCAGGCCAAAGTCCAATTTTACTTCATGCGGTATTCAGGACTTAATCAGGGATCTTTATAGTTCTCATTCTGTCTGTTTTGTTATATTGTCTGATATCATGTGTGTTCAATACGTTTAAACAAGACTTCAGGTTTTAAGTCAGAGTCCCCAAGAGAGCAGTCATGCCAGGCAATAATTAATTACATTTAAATTCTACAAGGCTAATGATGAATAGAAGGGGATCATCTCAGCCTTCTACTACAGTATGGGGAAGTACAAATTGTTCACCTTTATCAGAATATTTTTCATAATAGTTATTTGGTTTTTGCAAACATACCAGTTACATTTTAAGATGTGCAAACACTGCAGTAATTTCCTTTCAAAAAAGCAAAGGGTTATAAAGAGGGTTTTGTCTGAAGGTTTTTCTAGGTGATTATGTCATCACCTGAGTGTGTTTCAAGCTTTCCAAATAGGCTGCCATATCCCAGCTTACATAACTGGTATTGTATAATATGTCTTACGTTTGTGTGTTTCTTTGTCTTCATTAGTAAAACTGAAACATGATTGTTCTTGTATTCTATGGATTTTAACACATGTAGTTTGCCTCATTTTAAAGGTTTTCAATCAGTTATTGATGTGATGATTCCCTCAGGTGTTGGATTTTTGGCTTCCTTTTGATTGGTTGTTGCAGCCTGTAGCTTCAGTATAATGTTACTGTTTTATATTGTGACTTTGAAGTTCCAAGACTGAAATGTTGAATGTCTAAGTATCTTAGTGCTGACAATTCATTTAGGTCTCCATATATTATTACCATATTATTACCATATTTACCATAGCTTTTATTCCTCATCATCTCTTTGATTCTTCCAGGTACCTGAATTACTTTGCCACCAAGTCCAGTCCAACAGGTGTGATCCTGGATCTCTGGGAGGCCCAGCACTTTCCCGATGGAGACCTAAATGAACTGGCCGCTGTGTTGGAAGAGATGGGTCGCCATGACAGCACCCTCGCCTCCATGACAACGGAACATTGACATAGCAAAGTGGTTACCAGACAATGACAAAAAGAGACGATTACACGTGAATTCTCTACGGTTGATACTGCAGGAAGGGCAATGAACGACTTAGATGTGAGCAAAAGAAAAGTTGTTGCCATGGTGATTGAGTACCGGTTAAATACCATGGTAATCAAGCCGACATGGTAACAGACAGAACGAGAGGTGCTCGAGCTGGTGCTGGAACGCTATGCGTATCTTTATATGTGTGTTTGCGCGATGTTGCAGTGTCATGTGTGACCGGAGGAGAGATAACCCTACCTACCACACAAACAGTCTATCAGGAACAAACAAAACATACACACGCCTAAAAAAAGACCTTGTCTAGTGTAACACCAGTTGTTCTCTTGCTGTTACTTTATACTGAACAAAGACAAGCAGAGAAAAGAAAAAGAAGCAGCCGAAGTACTGACCTTGAAAACCTCCATAGGAATGGAACAGTATCATAAAGGGAGAGAAGCTAAACTGATTACAGAAGAGTGGGAGAAGGTAGATTGAGGAAAGAGAGAGAGTGAGTTAGAGGCTCTTTAGTAAGATGAGAGTAAACAAAGAGAGAAGCTAAACTGATTACAAAAGGGAGGGAAGATGCAAACATAAAATGATGGAAGAAGCTGCAGATGATCATCTGAAAGGACAGGATGGAAAACAGATAATGAGAGAGGGGAGATGAAGAAGTGATCCCACTCCTCTCCTGTTAGCCTTGGCTGTACGTGTTTGCCAGTACAGTTTGTTGTCTTTATATCGTTTCCTAGGGAACGCTCTATGTATTCTGCTGTCCATATGTGTGGATCATTTCCTGCTAACAGAATTCGCTACACAGTGACTGTCAATCAATAGTCCTGACCAGAAACAAGCCCGAGGCAACAGGTTTCCCTATTTGCCTGACATAACATCATAAGTGATGTTTAAATTAGTGTTAGATAAAGCAGTGAGTTTGTGACTTTCTTCCACAACATGAAGATAAATCGTCTAGGTCACAGGAAATCAGGAATTACAAAGTCAAAGGCAACCGAACCTGCTGTCCACTTGCCTTTTAACTTCTAATGTCAAATTTCCTTAAAATAGCCAGTCCAAAGATGATTACCTGATGGATGCAAGTGAAAACTTGTGTTTTGTTTGCCAATCTCAATGGAGAATGGTTGTGACAGATTTGTTAAATTGTCTGTTTTGAGGTATATTTAAAATTGCACTTATGATAAACAGATAAACAAGGTAAAGATACAGATGGTCAGTTATTTATTATATTTATGTTCAATGTACTACAGTACAGTATACAGTACATAAATATGTTTGTTTTATAGGAGTCGGCATTTACTATTTTTAGAAATGTACATATTTTTCTTCAGGAAAACAACTTTTCCTGAAGAAAAATATATAAATTTCTGCACTGCTGCTGCTCTGTTCCTCCCCAAAGAGGGAGAGTTTTTTGGAGGATTCCAGCTATCATCACCACTAATGGTTAACTACAACCTCAGATCCAGGAGTCTCTCTGATAGACTGCTGGGGCTTGTTTCTGGACAGGGTCCAACTCAGAGAAAAGAGAGAAGAAGCAAAAAGGAATGAACTAGAAGTGAAAACACAAGTGTTTTTAAATAGCGTAATATACAAAGTACCATAGTGTTACGTGATAGTGAATTAAAGACAGCTGATATCATTCATTACCGCTAAATGTATGCAAATATACTGATTTTTATCAATCATATTTTAATTTACTAAAATATATATAGCCTACATATATATATTTCTTAAATTTTTTCGGTGTTGCATCATCACAGGATGTCAGTTGTTACCTGCCATCAGGCCACATGTGATTTCATCTGTGATCACCACCATGACTTTGCTGGTCACTAGCACCATCCAGTGGCCTTTAAAGTGTAACAGCATTTACATTTTTTTTTTTTTTTTGATCGTCTGAAACGTGTAAATACATGATTATCATGTTCATCCTAATGACCTTGTATCACCATAATATTTTTGTTGAGTGATCATTATTGTGTTATTTACCTTAACATTTTTTTTTTTTTTTGCCATTTTAATGTTTTTATAGATGTGAACTGTGTGTGGGGGGGTGGGGGATCTGTAACATATCAGTTAGTTGCCCTTTTTCTCAAACAATGATCCGTCAGCAACTAACATTCCAACTCATGGTGTATTTGTTGAAAAAGTTGCAAGTTAGAGCTAAAAATCAAGATAACAACAAAGGGGGCTGATGTAAAATGAAGTGTAATATATTTGTGTTTTGCAGAACAACATTGTGAACCAAGGCTGGCTGTCAAATGTATGCACTGACCCCAGACAACATGTCTGATGAAAAGGTGTAACTCCAATACGCAAGCTTTGAGGGAAAAAAACAGCCTTATTTTTAGTGGCTTTTGAAACACTGTCTGATGCCCCCAGGGACATGAACTCTATCCACCATGTAAGAGACAGCATGAACACGCGGTTCAAAGGAAATACATGTAAAATATTCAAAACCTGGAGTTTAGATATTTCTGCTCTGGACTATGGAGAGACGCCATATGAAACTGAACATCAGGTATGTAGAGGAGATACTGAGGAGGATATTGTAAAGAAAACCAAGCAGGCAGAGGCTGCGTTAACACTGGTGCAAAAGGTCAGATCTTCACCTGGTTATGACAGATTTGATCTCGTGGCTATCCACACAGGAGGAAACCTTGAGACATTGATTTTTTTTTTTTCACATTGATTTTTCTTTCTTTGTGCAGTCCGTCAGAAATGTGCGAGTTAAGAATGACACCTCTTGTACCGGTGTTAAACCAGACGTAGTACACACAGTCGTCAAAATGTGTGCGTGTTGATTTCGGACAGCCTTATGAACCAAATCAGAAAAGGTGCATGGTTAAATGACAGAGTGGATGTCTTGTGCGTTTGCAAATGTTACTGCTGATGTCAGATGTGAGGAAATCAAAGGGATAAAAGCCTAAAACATCAACTCATCAATTCAGTTTGTTTCAGAACAAAACATGAACCCAAAGGTGACAAAAATGTCTCTTTCATACAATGTGATCATCAACATCTCCAATTAACTCAAAGGTAGAACTCACAGTCATATGAGATCTCATTTTTAACCGATGAAACGTGTTCAAGGAAACAATCAGTTAAGAAATGTAAGTTACAAATTACTGTGTAACTTCACCCAAAATTTGATCCTTGCCATGTTCTGAGTCTACAGTTTACCAGCAGGATAGACTGTTAATGGAGAGTAGACTGATAAAGGGAGTTTCCATGAGGAGAGCACATGTAGGCCTCCAGAAGGTGATCCTTCATGATGTGAAAATGAAGAAAGTAGTGTTAAGATATCAAAGTATGTAAAAATATTTTCTATCCACAGTATGTACAGTTGTGTACTGTCAGCTATATTTGGCAAATTTCAGAATATAAAAAAGAGCAGTACAGTTAGATACTAGTTTGTATGTTTCAAGTTTTTTTTTTTTAATTTAAGTTTCTTTCCTTTTTTGTAAAAGCAGTGTCTACTATGCAAACTTGGCATTGGTTATTATGATAGAAGTCTATAACTAGAGCTGTCCTTGTAAGTGCATTTTTATTTTACTATCAGGAGTGATTTGATTTGATTAGTGCGGGGTAGTGTTGGTCCATTTTAGCTAATTCTGGCACGCTTCATGAATCTTGCTCAATCTTGCTGAATGCTCGCCTCTCTATCTCCTCTAATTGTTTTCTGTACAAAGTGTAAGAAAGAATTTTTAAGACAATTAATAAATTATATTTATAAGCAATGCTGAAAATGTGTCATGCTTGGCTTATTTCAGCAGAGCTGTTTCCCAGGAATTGTTTTACACTTATATTTCACACATCTGAACTATGACAGCTTGTACTGGTACTGTAAGGGAAAGGGTCTGAAATGTAGTTTGTAGACCATGAGTATATACATTTGGTTTGCTATACTTTGATTTTTTTTACCTTTTTTTGTGTGAAATTTCATATTTATAGGCTCCAGACTAAATAAGTAGTTGGATAAGGGCACCTAAAGGGGAAGAAATTGCAACAGAAAATCCTTATGGTGTCACTGTTTAACATGCTGTGGGCTCAGCAGCACTGGTGGGTTGTAATGAGGCATGCTACTTTTTTAACAAAGAAAATATGGAGAGCATGCCTTAACAGTAAGAGGCACTGCCAAGTGACTTGTTAGTGTGCACCTCATTCAGCCACTACAAACTGTGCATCAGCCATGGGGATGAGTGAAACACTTTATTGGGGGAATGTTCAACCTTTTCACTGAATAAAAACACCACTTTCTCTCACAGACAACTACAGTAGATACAGATTAAATAAGGCACAACACCCAAGAGGAAAGAAAGGGCATTTATATCACAACAAATCTGTCACACCCAAACCTTCAATGGTGACTAGCACCCCATAATTTCAGTCGGCAAAGACCAAAAAAAGAAACTCACTGAACTCTGGAGGAAAGTTTATCAAGGATTTTACAAATGGACTACAAATACTAAAAATGAGTCAGTTAGTGCCATTTGAGGGAAATCTCAACTGGCACTGCTGTGATGGCAGGCTAGCATGGAAGACCCAACAGTCAGTGATGATGAAAGGTGTCCAGATTTACCTGGAGACTGAGGAAATAAGGCTGGTTCAGCTTCCCAATACCTGACTGCAACTATGTGAGAATTTGAATTAATGGAGAAACTCTCCTGATAAAAGCTAGATGAAGTTTTTTTTTTTTTTTTTTAAATGACTCAAGTGCCATTTGATTTTAGTGTGGCAACTGAAAATGGTCAGATCAACATGTGCTTTAATTTATACGTATGAGGCACTCTGGTGGTCAGGAAACAGTGACTTTATGATGTCCACAGGGTAATTCTGGTGGTGTGGTAGTTTGGGGATGGCTGTTTTAGGTCCAGTCAGTTTTTAAACAATACTTTGTTATATATTAAGTGAAAGCTTCTGGTCCAGCTGCCTAAAATACACATATCCATCATCAGCCTAGTTATGGGAGCCACTCTGTATTACTGGGAATGACTGAATGATAGTAATCCACCACGACAAACGAACTGTGGTACCCCTAAACTAACACAATTCCACACATTTATAATAGATCACTACATCGTCAAGCAAGACATCACCGCTACAGTTAGTGTACAACAGTTTCTGCCTTCACAGACTTCCCTTCCTGTAATTGCTGTGGAGCGACTACGGATGGCACCGTTCTTCCATTAATTATGCTATCACACGTGATGCCTTTGTTTTTAATAGTTCCATTTGAGGACAAGGAAACACAGAGGCCTTTAGAGCCTCAATACAGAATTTTTTTGGACATATAAATTTTATTTTTCACATATTGTCTTAAAGAGTTTGAGTTTTACATGGAAAATACACTTTTGCAACTTTCATAGCCCACCACAACTCAAAAATACAGGTTTACCTTTTCTTCAGTGTCTACAAACGTTACCAGCGTAAACAAAACTTTTAAAGCCTCAAAATACGTTTTTTTCTCCTGTCACATAGTGTCAGTCTTTGTAACAAAAAGCAGTCAATTTAAGAGTAACAAAAATGTGTTCAGTCCAATTACAATATAAAGCCAGTAGTGGGGTGACAGTGTTTGAAAGGAGGTGTCTTGCTGCAATAACAGATTGCCTTTAAGCACATCCCTTCAGTTCTGTCAATCAGACCTTCATCTACAGGTAGGGTAGCTTTCACAGAAAGCAGTGATATAGTATTCCACTCACTGGTCAGTAGCCTGTTTGCGTATCTCTGCAGCTACAGTGCCAAGTCAAACTCAACCTTTTTCTCCAAGGCCTTTGGATCATGTGAACAGGAACCTATATCTGGTTTTAGAGTCCTCAAACTAGTCTGAAATGAGATTGTCTCATCTTCTCTGATGGACAGAACAGAGCCACACAAGGCCTGATTGTTTTTCGTTAATTTAAGTTTTAGTAAACCACCATAGTCCTGTAATCATTTTTTTTCAAAGGGGACTTGGGTTGCAGAGTTCTGGGCATCTGGACTCAAAGTTTTTGATCCTGTGATCTCCAAAGTGATCTTCTTGCTTCCTGTCCCACCTCCTTTTCTCAGAAAAAAAGGTTTGTGCGGCCTGGACCAGTGCCAGTGTGATTGTTAGTGCCCTTTCTATGTGTGTAAACTCACACCTGGCAGTGGATGCTCACAGCTTGATATCCTGTGACTCTGACATCTTGGCAAGTGTCTTTTTGACTCGGAGGGCTGTGAGGCGGGAGGCTGGGTTGTGTGCCCAGCATTCTGTCATCAGTTTCCCCATCTGTCTCAAACACTGAGGGGATACAGATTTATGTTACGAAGGTCATACATTTGCGTGTGTTTGTGCATGTGTATGTGTGTGCATGGCATATTCCGATCTATTTTACCTCATCGCTGGTCCATCGATTAGGAAAAGATGGCCGTAGTCTCTTGATGCAGACCACCTCTCTCATGTCTTCATATGAAGGGTCTGTAGGAACTAACTCATGGTACGGCAATTGGTACTCCTCGAGGATCCCTAAAATGAATAAGTTCAGAAGAAACATGATCAGTTCTGTCAAACTAACTCCTAAAAATTGAATGTTTTCAAAATCCATACTGCACAGCCATCAAAAAAGTATTTTGTTTTTTAATTGTTCTGTGGAAGTCTAGCTTTTACAAGTTGTTTGTGACAAAGAAAAGAATGGATAAAAAGCGCATGTACCTCCTGAGACACAACGCCGCGCAATCTCCCAGAGAATGAGCCCAAAGCTGTACATGTCGGCCATGATGTACGACTGAAAATGACTTCTGTTCAGAGTCTCATCCAGAACCTCTGGAGGCATGTAGCGCTTTGTACCGACTCTAGTGTTGGGAGGGATGTCTACCTCATTGGTGTCACTGCCAAGTCAGAGATCAAAGTAATCCTTTTAAATTAAAGATCAACTCGCTATGAACATTACTGAAACCTTTGAAATAATAAAAGTTTAAAATGCTTTGATCTATGAAAATTTCTGAACCACTATCAGAGCTTAAACTCAACAAAACATGGATTCAAATCAAGAACTTTATGGAATATTTCTACAAATCATGCTAAATAGGAATGTCCCTGACACACTCACCTGATAAACTTGACCGCCAGTCCTAGGTCAGCTATACAGCATGTACCATTTCTTTTCACCAGTATGTTCTTACTCTTCAGATCCCGGTGAGCGATGGCAGGTTTGCCCTGGGTGCCGAAGATCTCTGTGTGGAGGTGACAGAGTCCTGATACAGAGGAATAGGCCAGTCGCAGCATGGCTTTATTGTCCAGAGTGGTTGATTTGAGGTAGTCATACAAAGAGCCATTCTCATGGTAGTCGGTGATTAGGTAGAGTTGTGTCCAAGAGCCAGTTCCTTTAATATCTGCAGCTATAAAACCTGTGAATAGGGTGGGCAGGGAATGGAGGAAGGTTACCGAGAGAAGGGAAGAAGAATAAATCTCCACATCACTGACTGACTTGGCCATGAAATGTAACTGTATATAACTTATGTTTTGGTAATTCTATCTTTACTGTTAACTTGTGTGCTTTAGAATTTCACTGTGAAGGTATATCAGTGAGGCTCATTCAGAAATACAGCAGAACAGACCACTTTAGCCTAAAAAGTCATGAAAAAAAAATAGTAAAGTAAGGCATAAGTAGACATGAAAAAATCACAGTATAGCAAGGCATAAAAGGTCAAAAAATCAACATAATATAGGAAGACATAAAAAATCATACAAACTACATAGGATAGTGAGGCCTTAAAAAACACAAAAGTGACATAGTATAGGAAGACACAAAATGTCATAAAAACGATATGGTATGGTATGGCATAAAAACGTCATAGTATAGTGAGGAATGAAAAGTCATAAAAATGTCATAGTATAATAAGGCATAAAAACATCATAGTAGAGTACTATGTACTCTACTATGACGTTTTTATACCTTTTTATGCCTTCCTATACTATGACGTTTTTATGATTTTTCATGCCATACCATACTATGACGTTTTTTTGCCTTTTTAGGCCTCACTATACTAGGATGCATATATGCCTTACTATACTATGACGTTTTTATGACTTTTCATGCCTTACTCTACTATGGCGTTTTTATGACTTTTCATGCCTTACTCTACTATGGCGTTTTATGCCATACTATACTATGACATTCTATGACATTTTATGCCTTACTATACCATGACGTTTTTATGACTGTTTATGTCTTACTATAATATGACGTTTTATGCCATACTATACAATGACATTTTTATGACTTTTCATGCCTTACTATACTATGACGTTTTTATGACTTTTTATGCCTTACTATACTATGTCGTTTTTATGACTTTTTATGCCATACTATACTATGACGTTTTTATGCCTTACTATACTATCACTTTCTATGACATTTTATACCTTACCGTACCATGACGTTTTTATGCCTTTTTATGCCTTACTCTACTATGGCGTTTTATGCCTTACTATACAATGACATTTTTATGACTTTTCATGCCTTACTATACTATGACGTTTTTATGACTTTTTATGCCTTACCATACTATGACGTTTTTATGACTTTTTATGCCTTACCATACTATGACGTTTTTATGACTTTTCATGCCATACCATGCTATGACATTTCTATGACTTTTCATGCCTTACTATACTATGACGCTTTTATGCCTTTTTAGACCTTACTATACTATGAATCTTTTACGCCATATATACTATGACATTCTATGACATTTTATGGCTTACTATACCATGACATTTTTATGACTTTTTATGCCTTACCATACTATGACGTTTTTATGACTTTTTAGACCTTACTATACTATGAATCTTTTATGCCATATATACTATGACATTCTATGACATTTTATGGCTTACTATACCATGACATTTTTATGACTTTTTATGCCTTACTATAATATGACGTTTTATGCCATACTATACTATGACATTTTTATGACTTTTCATGCCATACCAAACTATGACGTTTTTATGACTTTTTAGGCCTCACTATACTATGACGTTTTTATGACTTTTTGTGCCTTACTATACTATGACGTTTTTATGCCTTTTTATACCTTATTATACTATGACGTTTTTATGATTTTTTATGCCATACTATACTATGACGTTTTTATGACTTTTTGTGCCTTACTATACTATGACGTTTTTATGCCTTTTTATGCCATACTATACTATGACATTTTTATGACTTTTTATGCCTTTCTATGATAAGACGTTTTATGCCATACTATGACATTTTTATGACTTTCTATAATATGACGTTTTATGCCATACTATACTATGACGTTTTTATGACTTTTCATGCCATGCTATACTATGACGCTTTTATTACTTTTTAGGCCTTACTCTACTATGGCGTTTTATGCCATATATACTATGACATTCTATGACATTTTATGCCTTACTATACCATGACGTTTTTATGACTTTTTATGCCTTACTATAATATGACGTTTTATGCCATACTATACTATGACATTTTTATGACTTTTCATGCCTTACTATACAATGACGTTTTTATGACATTTTATGCCTTACTATACTATGACGTTTTTATGACTTTTTATGCCATACCATACTATGACTTTTTGTGACTTTTTAGGCCTTACTCTACTATGGCGTTTTATGCCATATATACTATGACATTCTATGACATTTTATGCCTTACTATACCATGACGTTTTTATGACTTTTTATGCCTTACTATAATATGACGTTTTATGCCATACTATACTATGACATTTTTATGACTTTTCATGCCTTACTATACTATGACTTTTTATGCCTTAGTATACTATGACATTTTTATGACTTTTCATGCCATACCAAACTATGACGTTTTTATGCCTTACTATACTATGACATTTTTATGACTTTTCATGCCATACCAAACTATGACGTTTTTATGACTTTTTAGGCCTCACCATAATAGGATGCATATATGCTTTACTATTTATTCTATGACGTTTTTATGACTTTTTATACCTTGTTATACTATGACGTTTTTATGACTTTTTGTGCCTTACCATACTATGATGTTTTATGCCATACTATACTATGACATTTTTATGACTTTTCATGCCTTACTATACTATGACGTTTTTATGCCTTTTTATGCCATACTATACTATGACATTTTTATGACTTTTCATGCCTTACTATACTATGACGTTTTTATGCCTTTTTATGCCATACTATGACATGTTTATGACTTTTTATGCCTTTCTATAATATGACGTTTTATGCCATACTATACTATGACATTTTTATGACTTTTCATGCCTTACTATACAATGACGTTTTTATGACATTTTATGCCTTACTATACTATGACGTTTTTATGACTTTTTATGCCTTACTCTACTATGGTGTTTATGCCATATATACTATGACATTCTATGACTTTTTATGCCTTTCTATACCATGACATTTTTATGACTTTTTATGCCTTTCTATAATATGACGTTTTATGCCATACTATACTATGACATTTTTATGACTTTTCATGCCTTACTATACTATGACTTTTTATGCCTTACTATACTATGACGTTTTTATGACTTTTTGTGCCTTACCATACTATGACGTTTTTATGACATTTTATGCCTTACTATACTATGACTTTTTATGCCTTACTATACTATGACGTTTTTATGACTTTTTATGCCATACCATACTATGACTTTTTGTGACTTTTTAGGCCTTACTCTACTATGGTGTTTATGCCATATATACTATGACATTCTATGACTTTTTATGCCTTTCTATACCATGACATTTTTATGACTTTTTATGACTTTTTATGCCATACTATACTATGACGTTTTTATGCATACTATGACGTTTTTATGCATACTATGACGTTTTTATGCATACTATGACGTTTTTATGCATACTATGACGTTTTTATGCATACTATGACGTTTTTATGCATACTATGACGTTTTTATGCATACTATGACGTTTTTATGCATACTATGACGTTTTTATGCATACTATGACGTTTTTATGCATACTATGACGTTTTTATGCATACTATGACGTTTTTATGCATACTATGACGTTTTTATGCATACTATGACGTTTTTATGCATACTATGACGTTTTTATGCATACTATGACGTTTTTATGCATACTATGACGTTTTTATGCATACTATGACGTTTTTATGCATACTATGACGTTTTTATGCATACTATGACGTTTTTATGCATACTATGACGTTTTTATGCATACTATGACGTTTTTATGCATACTATGACGTTTTTATGCATACTATGACGTTTTTATGCATACTATGACGTTTTTTTGACATTTTATGCCATACTATACTATGACATTTTTATGCCTTTTTATGCCATACCAAACTATGACGTTTTTGTGACTTTTTAGGCCTCACTATACTAGGTTGCATATATGCCTTTTTATGCCTTACTCTACTATGACGTTTTATGCCATACTATACTATGACATTTTTATGACTTTTCATGCCTTACTATACTATGAAGATTTTATGACATTTTTATGCCTTTTTATGCCATAACAAACTATGAGGTTTTTATGACGTTTTATGCCATACTATACTATGACATTTTTATGCCTTTTTATGCCATACCAAACTATTACGTTTTTGTGACTTTTTAGGCCTCACTATACTAGGATGCATATATGCCTTACTATTCTATGACGTTTTTATGACTTTTTATACTTTATTAGACTATGACATTTTTATGACTTTTCATGCCTTACTATACTATGACGTTTTATGCCATTTTATGCCTTACTATACTATGACATTTTTATGACTTTCTATAATATGACATTGTATGCCATACTATACTATGACATTTTTATGACTTTTCATGCCTTACTATACTATGACGTTTTTATGACTTTTTATGCCTTACTATACTAAGATGGATATATGACTTACTATACTATGACGTTTTTATGACTTTTTATACCTTACTATACTATGACATTTTATGCCTTACTATACCATTACATTTATATGACTTTTTATGCCTTACTATACTATGACGTTTTATGCCATACTATAATATGACATTTTTATGACTTTTTAGGCCTCACCATAATAGGATGCATATATGCTTTACTATTTATTCTATGACGTTTTTATGACTTTTTATACCTTGTTATACTATGACGTTTTTATGATTTTTTATGCCATACTATACTATGACGTTTTTATGACTTTTTGTGCCTTACCATACTATGATGTTTTATGCCATACTATACTATGACATTTTTATGACTTTTCATGCCTTACTATACTATGACGTTTTTATGCCTTTTTATGCCATACTATACTATGACATTTTTATGACTTTTCATGCCTTAC